CAGTTCTGAAAGCACAGAACATAATATCAAACATAAACAGAACACACAATTGGAGATACAAACACCATAACGTCGCCCTAGGACCCCACCTAAACTCCAACAAACCACAGTGACACAAAACGCTGGATTCCTTATCAAGTTACCACCCTTTCAGATAATCAAGTCTTAGTTCATTAAGGGAGAGAGGAGTCTCTCCTGTGCCACAGACGCCCAGGAAACACAATTGCAACCTCTTATGTTTCCATGTCACACATGGCATCACCTGGAGAAAATCTGCCATTGTGACACCCTCATTTCTATGTCACAGTGCTCTCACCACCGTGCATGGACTGAAACTGCTCATAGGGTTTCCTTTTAAGGATGGTTTGCCAAGATCCAAAAGAACAACAGTTTCGCATTTTTGGGACAACAGTCCCCCCCCCATTTTCTCATCCTCTGGGGCCGAGGGTCTTGAGAACTGAGATCTTCTTCTTCCTGAAGCCAGAGGGCACCACCACACCCTCCTCAACTTTTCTCTATTCACTCCACTCCTGTCACTCTTCTTGGCCCAAGTCATTTCATCCCCCTAAAAATGCAGTCTCTGTGTTGCAGGAGAAATTGTTTCAGTCTATGGCTATACAAGAAAAGTCCAGCCAAGGCCACTCCATCATCTCTCCCTACCTAGGATTTCTTCTTCTAACATCTCAGGTCCCAGACTGTCTTTTCTCTTTCAAACCGAGGAGTAATATTTCACAAAGCTTTCATTTCCCAGGAAAGGGTTAAAAGTCTTGGACTCCCTGGACAGCTGAAATTTTGGCCCAGGACTCCAACTCCCATGGCTGGCCACCTTCCCTCCCTTCTCCTTCTCCTCTGCAGGCAAATTTCCAGGTGCCTTCAGGCTGTCTGTCTCTTTCCCTCTGGTGGTTGGGGGGGGGGGGGGGGGGGGGGGGGGGTGACAGCGACATCTCAGATTTTCTCCACCCTTCTGTCCCCAGGAGCTGGCCTGGTTCCAGTCCCTTCACACCCTGGCCTACCTCTCCCAGGCCGCATGGCTTCCCCTCCTCCACCCAGCCCATGGCTGGGCGGGGGAGAGTCTGCACTCTCGGATGACCAGAACCAAAGAGACAGTTCTCCTGGGAGTTCTTGCTTTTAACCCCCTGTATTCTCAGAGGCGTGTCCATGCCTTCAGTGGTCACTCCAGGTGCCAGTATCCAAACCTGACCACTGATTGGTTTGACCCCAACTTCCTGAGAAAATTCACTTCCCTGTCAAACCATGACAGTGGGATAACCTCTAATGAATATAGGATGAGGAAACTTGCTATAGATATGCCAACTACCAGCACTCACGATCTGAAGACAGTGTGGACCAAGGCCCAAAAATTGGAGGTGATAAGAACGAACTAAAACCTTAACCAAAGAATACACATGCTCTAAAAAGGCAGACCCAATGAGGAGTCATGCTAAACAATTCTTGGATCATGTAAACTAGTTTGGGAAAAAAGTTTACTATGCATAAAGGTCTATGAATATGTAACAGGCTGATGGAAGGGAAAAGGTATTTAAGGGGTATCCCCAAAGATAACAGAGTGCCAAGATGGACCCAGCCGTAATAACCTTTACTCTATGGTCCTTGTTTCTTATTGTCCTTTATGAAACTTTTAAAATTTTAACAGGAGAGTGAACATGTTTTCACATATGACAATAGCTCTTGTAGAAGCAGAATGTGATCCTTGCTGTTGGAGGGGACCTTAAAACTTCAGCAAGTGAAACCACCACCTCCTTCTCCTCCTACTAGAGCTCTAAGTAGATAAGTTGGTTCAGCTTCATCTCCAGAGGACTCTTGGATATCCCTCCTCTTGGGGCACAGGGGCTCAAGGACATTTCAAATGCAAGAACTTTGGCTTACAAACAGTCTTATGGGAGGCATTTTCTTCTTTGCTCCCCAGCCATCTCAGGCAAAAAGGTAGAGAAAGCACAATACTCCTGTTACAGGCACACACTTATGGGACCACAGCCAGGGACCCAATCCAGGAGGAGTAGGAGCAATATATATATCCAAAGGAAAAGCCTTTCTTATCCTCAAGAGCTTCAAACATAGGAGCTGGGGTAGCTGTATCCAGGAACATATCCAACAATCAAGTGCCTACACCCAGAGCCACTTCCTCAAAAGCTGCCACCTCCTCAGAAGCTGCCCCTGCAACCACTGCAACCACTGCTTCCCCCCCCCCCCCCCCCAAGGCCCTCGGTCCAGAAGGGGGCTGCCCAGGTTCTTCCAAACAACATTTCACAACCCTTCCAAATGTGAAAAGATCAGCTAATATGAAAACAAAGGCAACACACAAGGGAAAGGAAAACAGACCACAACCAACACCAGCTCATTACAGGCAGAAAAGACTCAACCACTGCCCTGGACAGCCTGTTCCAATATTTGACAACCCTTTCCATGAAGAAATTTTTCCCAATATCCAGTCTAAACCTCCACTGGTACAACTTGATGTCATTTCCTATTGTCCTATCCCTTGTTCCATGGGAAAAGATACTGTTAAAAAAGAGGACTGCAATATGCTATTTGCTTTTGCATTTATATATATTATTTTTTGCATTGATCATAAGTATCCAGATACAACATAAGGTATACCTTTATTTAGCTGTTTGTCAGTATAACAAAATCTATAACTTTTGGTATGTACTGCCTTGTTTATAGAAATAGTAGTGGGGTGAATATGCTATATTATAGGCCTTAGCTGAACACTAGGTGTTAAAATACCTCTGTGTAACCAAACAAATGGTGTAAAGTGATCATGTTGTTCCCCTTTCCCTTGACTGAATCCTTCAACTGATAAGATAACCTTGACACAAACCAGAGCACGGAGGACAAGTAGAGTTAAACTTATGTTAAATTTAAGGAGGACACACTAAATCCTTATCAGAGAATGTGAAACAGCAGGATGGAGACACAAGAAGAAATAAAATATATTGACCTGACATACAAGATGCCATGCAGATAAGCCGGAATGTGAAGAAGCCAAACAAAGGAGTTCCCAAAACATCAGAAAGTTCCCAAGAATGTTCGAATAATGTATGAAACACATGAATATGCATGTACCTCACTGTCTGGTGTGTTCTTTGGCTGTTTGTTAGGAGTACCTCAGCGCTGGACTTTTGTCTCTTTTTTTTTTATCCCTTATTAAACTTTACAAAAATTCTTTATTTTGAACTCCATTCTTTCTTGAGCTTCCTTTTCTCCAGGCTAAACAACCCCAGCTCCTTCAGCCACTCCTCCTAAGACTAGCCATAACTGCACTAAGAAGTCTACACACTTGAGTAGCATTTTCAGCATGCTTTATTTACTAGGTTATAAAATAAAGTTGCCTGAGTTTGAGACAGGTGTTCAGGCTGTACAGCTAGACAGGGTTTTGTCTAGGACATCCCTGTATTTACCTTTGACTATCTTACTCTGGCTGTTCCCAGACTCCACATTGTGAGAAATGCGTATTTTATTATTGGCTCTTCACAAATATTAAATTGAATACTATATGTATTACGGAGGGTTATTTTGTAATACTGTATTAATCCTTTTTAAGTAGTGTGTTAAATATTGTAGTATATGATTTAGAAAAAATTCATGCTCAGGACTAAAAAATACAGTATCCTTTTTAATGAAACCAAGTGATGGGAAAGAGCAATATACACAGGATGAATTCCTGTCTCAAAAGATGGTTATTCTGAAGGAATATTCTGTCTAGACAATATGCATTAAACGATAAGCTGAATATTCGTTGCCAGAACAAGATATTCAAGGGGATTACCGTCTAACAGGATTTCAGCAATCAGAGTATTCCAGGAAAACCTCTGTTTAGAAGCACCACAAGAAAAGAACATGCATGAATACGTGAAAAAGGACAAAAGGAAACAGGAGGACCGCCCCCCCCCCCCCCCCCCCCCAGAATCCCACTAAGTCTGGAAACAGTATAAAAAAGACCCTGTGAAATCAGTAAATCAGTACCCTGTGAACTGCTAGGGTATGGTGCTGCATTAGTCCAGACCCAGTTCACCCAGCACCAGACCCAGTTCATCCAGCACCAATCGCCTGGCTCGGTGCTGATTTGCTTGTGGTTTTTCCAATTTTACTTTGATTTATTTTAATAAAATCCTTTAATTATTAAATTGACTGATTAATTTATAACAATATAGTTTTAGGTTACAACATAATGTTAAAATAGAAACTCTGCAAAGTAAGATATTTTTTACTAGCTCAAGAAAAGAGATAAGATAATCAAGATAAACAGAGATAACGGCAACAGGAAATCTAAAGAGTTACAGCCTCCTTATCAGAAAAGACAAACATTCTTCCACCTTCTCTCAGTCTTTATGGAACCACCAGGATTAAGGGGAAGAAGTTGACAAAAACCAGAAAAATTCTTAATTTGCCAGGACTTTATGCATCATGTATGAGATATATGAATATACAACAGGCTATTGCTTTTAAGGTTATTCCTTTGTTCACAAGGCATGTTTTTGGCAGCTTAGTGCCCAAAAACATCCAGACGTCCGTAATTCTTTGCTTTTTATTGTCTCGTAGTGTCCTAATCCTCATTGTCCAAATTTTTATTACTCTAATTTTATTACTATTTTTATAACTATTTTATTACTAATAAACTTTTAAAATACTAAAAACCAAGTGATTGGCATTTTTCACAACATGAAAGACCTGGTTCTGACTTCAACCTTTATCTATGGCATTCATCCAGTGATACTACTTTTCAGATTACTGCTCGTTGCGCCATTTGTGCATCTAGAGATACACTGAATCATTAAATCTGGTGACTTTTCTCAGTAACATACAACCAAATGTTCTCTTCAAGATCCTTATCCTAGTTTCCTGAAAACAAAATTATTTACTTTTCTACAATCTATGCTGAGACTCTGTGACTCTAACTCTTAGCTTGACTCATGCCATTTACATTCTCTATCCAGGTAAAGAAGAAAACTTCATTTACTCTCCCTCCTGCAACTCACCTGCATTTGTTGCCATGATGCACATGCAAAGATCTCCACCTATGAGTGTTGGAAAACATACCAGTTTAAAAATTTTTGTATAACTTCAGTCAAGGGGTTTTGTTTGCCTCTGCCCCGGAAGAATTTTAAGTTTCTTTCCAGGGCATTGTTGCACCAGGTGAGGTCTGGCAAACTCAACACATCAACACATTGGGAGTAGCCCAAAAGACAAAGGGCCATCAGCGGCCATCTAGGAACATCTACTCTCAGATGCCGCCTCTGGCAGAGTTGGAGACAGCTAGTCTGGAAAGGACTGATAAGAAAATCGAAGAATGAAGATCTAATTAACATCGGAGGCAGGAGATTCAGATCCAATGGGAAACTGAAAACTGGGGGCTGCTCAACTCTGGACCAGTGAACTTTAAAACAGTGCATCACTATGAGTTTTGACCATAAAGTTTGGGAGAAAATCCTGCAAAAACGTGTGTCGTGGAATGATTCTGCACATCCAGCCTATGTGTGGATAAGAGGATTTCTGTGGTACATCCTGGCCAGAATAAAGTAATGACTCTCAAAAATTAAAAATGTTGTTGGAGGTTATTCGCTTTTCCCGCACTTTTGGTGACATGAGCACCTCCAAAACCTGTCAGATGCACCTACTGGCTGCCAATTTGTTTACTTGCTGTTCAATCCTACCTCTTGGTAAAAGAAAACATTGACACACAGACTTCAACTAGCTTTGACAAGATGTCATACTCTCCCTATAACAATTAAAATTTTCTCAACTCAAAAGCGCAGCACATTTGCTTCTATTTGTAAATTGACAATTCCACTGTATCAATTTATACGACCTAGAAAACTGGATGATTAAAAAACCAGCATATAGAACATAGAGATAAGCTCTCAGTCACTATCAAATGAATTGTGTTGCACAAATGATCAACACTGAAGATAACTTGTTTAAATAAAGCAAGCCATTTACTTACCATTGGCAGCCTGGATTGAAGCATCTGGACATCATCATAACCATAAATCTGCTTAAAGACAGATAAAAAATAAAATTTTATAACACATTTCTCTGATGATGATAAATTTGGGGCTCTGTTTAAACAGTTTGACCTAGGACCAGTCTATTTTAGAGATGTACAGATATACGTCACATTGTGCCGTCATGGTGCACTGTAGCATTTTAAGGCTAGTAGAGCAAAGCTTAAAATGGCTTTTCACTCTGATGTTGTTTCCTTGTGACAGCAGTCCTCTGAGAATATTACTGTCATATGTTTAATATGGTTTTCACAGACGCATCATTCATCAAATTGTTTAAAATCTACAGGGCATTCAGAATTGGGAGTAAGAGCAACAGCCTTCCTTGATGTAATAATTACTTCTGAAAATAGCAGGATTTAAGATTTGATGACTAGACCACAAAGCAACCTATGGTATCCCCTCGCATTCAGTGTAATATAGAAGAAGTATTGGAATTAAGATTCTGATTCAAAAAACAGATAACCAAAAATATGTTCATCCTGGTCAGACACCAAAAAGTTACATGCAATCTATTAAAGTATGACAGACAGGATATATGGCACATTTCAACCATTACTATGCACTATTACAATTGCATTACTATGTAATACTATCTACTCCAGTAATACAAACCTAAATGGATCTAATTTTATTCGAAGGGCCTAAAACCTGATAACGCTGAAAACGATGGCAACATGCATGTTTACCTACAACAGCAGCCAGATCAGGTCTGTACCAACACTTATACAGTTTACTATCAACAGTAAACCCTCACTGAATACATTTAACATTCTTCAGCATTTGGAACAAGAATTCCCGGTGCAACATATGCCAACAGAAATGCATGGGCATAGACAACAGCAGGTCTGGAGTGCTCACTTGCACCAAGGCTTAATCAATCAAGGACAAACAAATTGCTTACTGGGTAGGCAGGCAGAAGTCCTCCAGGTCCCACAATATACTGGTTATGCAACAAGGGTGATACACCTTGAGGCAGATTTGGGGGAGCTTTGCCTGTAGAATTAAAATACAGGCACTTTAACAAGTCTTTAGAAAAGAAAAGGCTTCAGCATTGAGACAAGATAGCTCACAAGTCCTGGCAGCTGCACTGTCTTAGTTTGTAAAAGCAGAACTACACAGAAGAATTTTGTGCTTGTTGATGAAAATGCTCAAAATAGCCTGGAGAGTTTAACCATGCCTCAAGGAAGAGAAACCATAGGCTACTTAAGACTGAAAAGAGTCCCATCAGAGAATAGTCTAATTTTGTTATTTACTCTGTCCAAGAGAATTACAATAATTACTGGAAAATCTCCATTCCTTGGTCCTCTCCTGAAGGCAAAATTCAGGCACTGTTTTCAGTCTAAGAGCAAATTATCTCCTTTAATTTTCTGCTCTGTCAACAAATTGCCCCTTATCACCAGCAATAGACTGGAAAGCACTAAATGTTGCCAGCATACTTTTTGTGGGTGACTTACTGCAGCTGGGAATAGTAAAGAGGAACTTTAAATGTTCCAATTGCCTACATGAAGCAGAGCTAGGAAGCAGAAAAGTAAAAAAAAAATCACTTTGACCAGTCATCAGACACTTTATTTACAAGCTAAGTAAATGGGAAATTCTTCTGTAAGTCTGATCTCAATATTTAAATCATTCACTTCCCTCCCTAGGATTTCCTTTTAGCAGTTCAGGCTGATTAGAAAAGAAAGAGAATTTAGTATTGCTTTTATTTCAGTGCAAGAAGCCTCCCAACCTTCCCTCTTTCTGAAGTGCTATTTTCTGTGGAATGACCCAGACATCAGACACTTTTTTCCTTTCTCTAGATGTGGCAATAGGGAAGTGGCATATGATAATGAGGACAAGGCAGTATATTTTGACACTGCCAAATAAATTCAAGTCACAGAGAAGACTGAAATTAAATCTAATGTGAAGTCACAGCAAAGAGCTGATTATAACCTGGAATACAAACAGGGTCAATCTCCTAGTCCAAGACTTCCAAAGTCAGAATTACTCTGGTTTCTATTAACAAAGATCTTTGGGGATGGAATATGCTACATAAATGCCACTGTCATGGTTTGACACTGGCACAATGCCAGTGCCCCCCATGAAAATGCAATCTCTCAACTGAATGCTGTGAAATGTGATCGAGAACAGAGCAAAGCAGGCCCAAGCTTAATAACAAGAAAAAAACTTTATTAAACTACTACCACTATGCTACTATAAAAGAGGGGGGGGGAAAAAAAGAAGAAAGAAAATACACACAATTCAAAATGAAAACCTTCCAAAGCATTCCTCCTCCCACCACCCAACTCCAACAAACCACAGTGAGACACAATCTGGACCCCAATCAGGTTTCCACCCTCCAGATAATCAACACCCAGTCCATCTGCAGGGAGAGAGGAGTCTCTCTTGTGCCACAGACCCCCCAAGAAACACAGCTGCCACATCGTGTGCTTCCATGTCACCACATGGCACCGCCCGGAGAAAAAAGTTTGCCAGTGGTGACCCTCTCCTTTCCAGGCACAGTGCTCTCACCACCAATGCATGGATGGACAGACTGCTTTTTTAATGTCTTAACAAATATCTCAAATACACAAACCCAGGAAATTTTATTTTATAACCCAGAAAATAAAGCATGCTGAAAATGCTAGTTAAGAGTATGGATTTCTTAGCATAGCTATAGCTGGCAAGATGCTCAACTGACAGCCCTGCTGATCGAAGTCCTCTGTCTGTCCACAAAAACTTTTAAAAGTGCAAACCTGAAGACATTAAGGGAGCTGCTCCTGTGGTAGCAGACACACTGGTAACACTAAGGCCAAGGCTAGCTGTAGTGTTCATACTGCTTGCCATGCTGACAACCGAAGAGGTGGTGCTAGTGTCTGAGGTTGAAGCAGTTGAAAATGTTGTTGAAGGCTGAAGAGAAGTGGTGTTCTCAACACTAGTGTGCTAGAAAGGAGACAAAAAGATTGAGGATCATAGAGCAAATGAAGCAAAGTGAAAGATGCGGGGCGGAAGGGGGGGGGGGGGAACAAAACTAAAAATCAAACCCAACAATCTTTTAAGCAACAGCAGCACATGTAAAAATAATGCATTGTGTATGTGTTATGTGTAGTAGATATAATTCACGCCATTTCTAGTATGATATATGTGATATTGAATATTTGTTGGAGTATACATGTTTGTATTAGGAGTCCCCCCACCCTCGAAGGCGAAACCTGGTGTATGTTGAAACCCAATTTACAAGTAAAAGGATGTGGCTCTCTGGAGATGGGCCGTATAAGGGGTCGCCTCGGCCTGATCATCGTGTGAACGACCCGAGATAGGTATCATGGAAATACTCTGGACAGATACATGTGAATGCAGGGTTCTCCTAAATTTCATCAAGGGATTCACCAACTCCAGACATCAAATTGTTTTACCTCTTCCTCAAGAAAAGAAATCTCATCAAACTATGGGACTCTGAATAGAAGAAAGGACTGATTGCCGAAATCCTGGCCTCAGGCGGAATTTTCCCTATAAAAACTGCTTGTACTAGGATGGTGGTGTGTGGGCATAGAGGAAAACCTCTGCTGAGGCTGTCTTCTCTGTTGCACACCCAGTGCTGACCCCGGGCTCGGCACTGTTCTTTCCTTGTGGCTGGCTAGATATAATTTGAATTGCAAAATAAATATTTTATTTTTTCATTTTTAATTTGGCTGGACACATTTTAATTTATAACAAATGTATCAGGCAAGCAATTAAGTTGCATGCTTGTGATTTTTAAGTATTCAAAGAAAATTATTACATGATACTTAAATTCAAACTGCAATATTATCACAAAATTATACCACAGTGAAACAGAGATTTTTGGAGTTCACTTAAGTTAACAAAATGAATTAAGCATTTATATTCTAGCTTGTACAGTTATGTGTTAAATTTTAACCTTTTACTTAAGAAACCTCTACCATGGCACAAAGGGCATAAGAAAATGCAAATTTCTGAAGCTTCTTGCATAAAGAACAATACTAGAAAGGACTGAAGATGCAAAGAACCCAGATAATAAGGCTCCTCTGTTCCTAAGCCTATGGAGACTCAGAGACGTACTCAGATAAGCACCAAAGGATCAAAAGCACACACACAAAGGAGAAAAGTTCAAAAGTTCAACCATTAAGAAGACCACAATCTTCAGCTTCAAGAGACCACCAGAGACCCACCCTCCCCACCTGCCCCAAACACCACGGCAAACCATGAATGCCTAGAAGGGCGTGGACCTATTTAGCATGAGAGGCAAGGACAGGCAGGGCCAGGCGTTGAATATGCATGGAAAAGTTGTGTGATGTATTGCATATGGAACACCTTTGTGAATAAAAGTGTGGGTCAGACTGAGGCTCGGGGCACAAGTTTTTGGTGAGATATCTCACTTGTGCCAGGTGCCAACAATACATACCCACTTCATAACTGCCCCAGGTTGTGGAGTGTATTTATTCCATGTATCGCTTCAACAGTAACTCAAATGTTACTCCCTTGCATTATTTCTTGCCCTTTTTGCTTGTATATTCCTTTAAGCTAGTATTTGTTATGTTAAATAAACTATATTCTTCCAAAATACAATATTTGTTTTCTAAATACAGAACACTGCTATTGTGATTTCCTCAGTGCTATTATGGAATTTAAAAGATTAAAACTGCAGTGCCCCACAATAGAGTCAATGTGGTAAACTGAAACACAAACAAAATGTATTACAGGATCACATGAGGATAAAGGAGTTCCTGGCTTGAATCCAGCACAATACAGTGCTTTAGCTGTAAGCTGATCACACTTGCAAAACAGCATCATCAACACACAGAAGCCAAAAATAACTCTGACAACAAAAAAGGAGTACATTTTGATAAGTGTGATTTTTAAGTTACATATACAACAGGGTAGAACATTACAAACCAAAATTCAAGCATAAAGAAAAGCAGTAACCTATCTGCACACCCCAACGGGGATTGTACAGACAGAACAAGGCAGTGTCTCTGACTTTAATTTGTTCAATCTCATCTAGAGCACTGTGTTCACTACCATTTGCCTTGTTATCTCTAATGCATTAAATACACAGGTGACAACAATGTCACATGGTAAACTCTAAAATCATCTGTCCTGAAGCATTTGTCATGACATGTACCACTCTATCACCTGCACTTTGCCAGCTAATCTCTCCAGTGGAGACTGTGAAGAGTCCACATTGTAGAGTAGTTTCAGACAGCCACATCAAAAGTTTTATTCGTTTTTTTAACACATTTGTTGTGAGAAATTCTTTCTATATTCCATCCCCCCTTGCTGGCACAAAAATTTCCTCTACAGTTGCTACAGTTGTGTGACTGGCAAGTCTCTGTAACAGCTAGTCCTTGATCTAGTACAAATCACAAGTGGTAAAGACTTTTTTTTTTTTTACCACTAGAGAGCTGGCAGTCCTCCTTCCCTGAGAAAAAGCTCTTGTTTCGGTTATTAGCATTCTGGAGCACACTGAACTAAGAGAGGGTCTTAATCATCAGATAAACTGACTATATGCCAAATATCTGTAGAAATGCAAATAGGACTTACCACATGTGATGTGCTTGAAGACAACACTGAGGCAGGGGAGAGGCTGCTCTGATGATTGGAAAGGGAGCTAAAAAGGAATTGCAAAGAGTTAAGGTTATAGATGAGTAATATAATAGTTGGCTCTCACAATTAAGAGATAGATACTATGCAGATGTTAAAATGTACAGTGCTGTTATTGTAATGTGTCCTCCCATAGCCCTCTTTCCCCTTGTAGTAGCCTCAGTAGTCAGGGCATTTAGAGAAGGCCGACTTATTACCAAGAGGCACAGTGTAACAACACCTGACCTCCAATTAAGATATAAGAAGGTAATCGTCACCAATGGACAGCAGAGAAGGAGTTGACTGACAAAACTTTGGGAGGGGCTATGGTTATAAAAGGCAAAGCATCCATTTTGTAGATGAACACGTGGCTGATAGTTATGGTAGTTCCCAGCACTGTAGTTTTTCCTTATTTAGTCCTTTTGTATTTTTTTTGTTAAAGTTTAATAAACTTTTAAAATTTTAAAAGTAAGGAGTCATTTCTCACAGTTAATAAAATTATTTTTTCTTAAAACATTTTAAATATATATCTATGTATATACACACATACATATATACAGAGTAGGTAGTAGAATATTAGTTAAAGAATAAAGATTGTAGCTACGTGTATACACATATACACACAGTAGGATAATAAAGAAAAAATTGTCTGTAGAAATGTGTATATATTTACACACACACACACACCTCCCTACATTTTCCCTTTAACTAATATCCTACTATGGTTTAATGAAGAAAATGAAATACAGAAACAACTATTACTAACAAGAAACATCTAAAACACCATTCATTTATATTTATCAAATTACTATATTTTTAGAAAAACAACTGCTAGTTCAGGAATTATGTAGCAATTACTCTAAGATATGTAAAGTCCAAAACCAGAAGAACGCTCACAGAAACATATGGCTTGTTTCCCATTCTTTCCATAAGCAACTGCTGCTGCTTGCAATAGGGCACAAGTATTAATTAGGTGAGATAGTGCTTTGGTTTGAGTCATTATGGTATTTCTCATATAACCTGAATAATATTAGTTCAACCAATTAGAACTGCAGGGTATTTGCCCCATAACTCTACCAAAAGCCTTAAGAAACTATCAAAAGACAGGGCTCAAAAAAAAACCCCAACAAATGAAGAGCATCTGTGAAAGCCCAAAAGTTAGCCATACTACTACAGAATCTGTCAATTTAATCAAGGCCAATTAATACCACTACACCTTATCAAAACCAATTTCCTCTTTGAAAAGATGAAACAGAACTATTAGTTCAGTTTTATACATACACTGTAAAATATGAAAATAAAGACTCCCCTGATGAAAAACATTTGCAATAGTTTTGCTTTAGAAAGCAACTCTGCTTTAGCACCATCTTTTTTTTTCCTAACTGACCAGGCCTGTGAACTATTGGCACTAACAGCAGCACTGACATACATCTGTAATCCAAAGATCTCCCTGAAAAGTGACTGAAATGTTTTTTTAAACATTTACACTGACAGAAGTTATACCTTATATTCAAGATCAAGAACATAACTTACAGCACAATAAACAAATTGAACATGATTTAGTAAAATATGAATATCGATCTAATATTGATATCCAACTGAGACGGACAAAAAACTCTCAAACAGTTAAAGTTAGAAAGTATATGTTTAATACAATGCCTGGGCAGTATGTGGGATAATTTCCTAATGCGCACTGCAAAAATCACAGGTATTACAAATCCCTTTTATTTACAGAAGTCTTGAATACACAAAATATGAATGCATATTCATATCCCTGTCACTTCCTCTGCTCTGCTTCATATGCTAATTGGAAAAAAGGCAATGCATAGTTTTGTTCCATGAAATGAGTCGGGGGTCCATTTTGGGGAGGGGTCTCCAAAATGAAGAAGTAAAATAAGTCTTCTTCGTTCTGACCTTTCTACCTTTTCAATGCATCCGTGACAAATGAATCCTTGTAGTTTTCCTGTGTTCAATGGATTCCTCAAGTATGGGAAGTCTGCAACTGTTTTTGTGTCCCTGAAATCTGTTTATCACATTCTGGTTTTCATTATAAGCACAGCTACCCAAACATAAAGTTGACAAGCAATGAGCTACTAGATTCTGGATATCTTATCTAAGATCTGGCTACTGTTAACTATGAGCAAAGCCTATTTATCTACTCCCGCTAACTCAGCAACATCTAATTTAACTATCATCTTAACTTGCCTAAAATTCTTAATTCTTCAAAATTAATGTCTCACTTGCCACTTCTTTTTTGAAATTAGTAAATTCTTTAACTCAGTATACAGAGTCTTCCTCATCTAAGACGTACAGCTAGTGTCTCTCAAGACCAAGCCATAGCCATATGCCTTTGATAGTGATGTTAAGGCTGCCACTTGTCATAGCATCCTCTAATTCCAAACCAGTGTTACAACAGATAACACTAAACTTATGCTAACCAAAATAAGCAACACAGTTATAGGGTGTACTAAGGCATTCACGCTAACAAAGCAAAGATATAAAAAATAAATATGGTTTGGTGCTCAAAAAAACCCTCCTCATTTGAAATCAGAAGCAAGAGAGATCCTAACCATAGTAAATATTTTAGTGTTCTCTATGGAAATAGTCACAAGAAAATACAGTAGTTTTCATAGCAAAGTTGCAGGCTAAATTTTATGCCCTAATTAAAGGGCAAACGCTTCTGGAAGCTCTTTTGAGGTGCGGGACCAGAATAAATGTTGGCAGTTCCATAGATTAATTTTACTTTGAGTCTTTTAAACTGTTCTCTGCCCGCACAAATTACAATGAAACCACTTCAAGCAGCAAGGAAAAAACAGTTCAGTCTTACATATATTTTTAAACCACTCCCTTGCCCACTCTCCCCAGCTCTTCTAAAAGCCTTAATTAACTATCTGACCTATGGTAGACAGACAAGAGACACCAGCACAACCAAGCCAGACATGCTTGGAATTCAAGAATCATCTTGCATGGTGCTTTGTATCTGACTAACAGCATCGATCCTCCAACTAATATTTCTATCAATGTACACAGCTTTTCAACAAACAAATGTGGGGATGTATTTTCAATGTGAAGGAATTAATTATTGTTGTTTGACACATTTTCCCTTTTATTCAACAGAAAACACTAGTATATTAAGAGACTGTCCTAGGTATCTAACAGAAAAAAATCTGTGATCGCCCATAAAATTAGTTTCTTATAGTAACAGATACAGTACAAAGGTGAGTATTAAAACATAACCAGCACAGCCTCAGGATGTCACCTGTCCAAAGACAAAGCGCAAGTAACAGGCACTAAAATATCAGACAGACAGTGTGAATGAGCCAAGCTGTGCTAAATGCACTTCCAGGAACACCAATCTGACATTTCAAAGTGTCTTAAGGAAATGTCGTAGAAAAAGGCACACGCTTTCCCAGTGGAATCATTCCCATTTTCTAATTTTAAGAAATACAAATATAAATGAAAACAAAATATTTCAAAATTAGCCAGGAAGTAAATTGTAAGGGAATAATTTCAAACATACGACACTAAACAAACAGCAAGCACTGCAGAAAAAGTAGGAAAAACAAACTAGGGGAATCAATTTAGATGACATGACTGAAGCAAGAGCTACTTGAAACACAAAGTTGTTTATATACCACTGTCCTGGGTAACCCAAAATGTTATTGTATTCCATATCTATCTGTGCCCAACATTGTTACTGTCTATTTAAGATCCTGAAGCAGGAAAACAACCCTGCAAGGGCTGGGAGGTGCCCAGGTTTTTTGAGGTTGAGGCACTTGGGCAGAACTCTCTCTTGCCTCATGGCTCTGGCTTTTTTCCCTTTGTTCTTGACAGGAGATCGAGCCAAGGCACCAGTGGGCAGAGACTCTCTTTTGGGTTTCTTTTTTGTTTTTTTTCCTAGAGGGTTGCCTCAGGTAGTTTATTTCTGAGAGGCAGTCCTGGAACGTCTCAAGGCAAACTGAGTGCCTGCCTACAGCTGTGGCATTGCAACGATAAGAACAGAACAGCCCCGCTCCGTACAATCCCCCCAGCCCACCAGCAGTGCACAGTGGAACAGGGAAGGTGCAGAGTCCAAGTTGCCCCAGCTGGTTGCCTTGCCATATTCTGCCAAGAGGAAGGCAAAGTCCCTCCATGAGTTCTAGACCTTGACCAATGTGCAAAATGCATATTATATGATTGGCTCTTTGCAGATATTAAAATGAATACTATATGTGCTATGTTGGAAAGTTATGTTGTATTAACCTCTTTTAAGTAGTGCTGTATTAATCTCTTTTAAGTAGTATGGTAAATATAATTTTTAGGCTATAGCACAATATTAAAATAGAAACTATGTGATATAAGATACTTTTTGTAACTACCTCAAGGAATGGATAAGATAATTAAGAAATTCTTCGCATAGAAATAACAGCAACAAGACACTAATATTGCAAGAAAGGAATTATTGCCTCCTTATCATGAAGACCCAGACTTCAAGGGACCAAAACTATTCATTTACAAGATGAGGGGAGGGAGTAGAAAATAATCAGAAAACACCCTTAGTTTGAAAAGAAAGTTTGAATTATGTATGAGATATATGAATATGCAATAGGCTATTGCTTTTAAGGGGTAATCCTTTGTTTGCAAGGTGTGCTTTGTGGCAGAGTGCAAGGCACCCAGACGTCCATAATTCTTTGCCTTTTATTGTCTCTTAATATCCTAAGTTTCATTACTATTTTCATTACTATTAAACTTTTAAAATTTTAACACAAGTGAATGGCATTTTTTACAACCAAGTTCCAGCTGCCAGAGTGTGCCAGCCACCTTCACCAAGGGAGCTGCTGCCGCCACTGGAGAGAAAAGAGGGAGGAGGGTTGCTGTCATCTTTGTCTTTCAACACATGGTTGTCTGTGAAGGGTGACATCTTGGGGGAGGGGTTACTCTGCCATTTTAAAATTTCTCCTTGTTCCCAGGGAGTCTGCGAGATTCCAGCAATTTTCTAACTAGTGGCTATTACTATTTTTATGTTTGCCTGTTTCTGTTTTGGTTTTTTAGTAAACTGTTGTTTTTTCACTTATATCTACTCATATTTGTGAGAAATGACCTGTCACTTTTAAAATTTAAAAGGTTTATTAAGCCTTAACAAAATACAACAAAGGACAGTGTGCTGGGAGTGTGTGACCGTCTGCCATGAGCTTGTCTACAAAATGGCTGCTCCGCCTTTTATACCCCTGGGGTTGCATCAGGCAACCTTGGCCTCTCCTAAAGTCTGTCAGTCAGCTCTTCTTCACCGTCCATTGGAAAAGACTACTTTCTTGCAACTTGATTGGAGGTGAGGTGTTGTCATGCCGCGCCCCCTAGCAACATCCCATTCCCAACTGCCCCATGCAAAGGGCACATATACATGCGCTCCCTCCATGTCTTGGACAGCCCTGACAACCCAGGCTGTCTGGTGGAAACAATACAGAGGGGGGGAAAGGGGACTATGGGGAGAACAGAGGACGTCTAAACAACAAACTACAATAACATAACTATACATCAATAAAACTTCTCTTAACATACACACAATGTTCATCCCTTACTTGCGAGAGCCAATCATCCCATTACTCATCTATAACAATATTCATCTCCCCTTATTGGTGGAAACAGATTGGTTAAAACTAAAGAGGAGGCAACTTATTTCAAAGTGTCCATCTCATAACTTGTCTTAAACCAAGACAACCATGGGCAGCAGCTGCTCTATCATTAAGAGGCAGCCCAGAGCTCATACTTTGTAACCAGAAACATCCTGGCATCTTCTGAATCTCTCTCCTAATTCTAGTAATGTCAGAAAAAGAGACCCTGGTGCCTGACAGCCTCATAAACAATCACCCTTATGTCTGTCCTTTCCTGACAATTGAACCCCTTTCCATTTATCACAACTCCTACTGTACCTGCTTAACTGTGAGAGTGAGCTGCTGGACAGATCAATGGACTGAGGCAAGCTGGGCAAAGTTCCTGCATGCTGCGATGCTGAAGGCAGAAGTGAAGCAGTAGTGGACACCATGCCGCGCAGAGAATCAGCAGAAGGTAGTGAGGGAGAAGGCTCTGTCTTAAGCGCAGGAACTGATGAAGTAGCTGCAACAAATTAAAAAGAGATATTCAAAGACAAATTCCAGCATACTTAACATCCTAGCCTGGATTCAGGAACACAACAGTGTTCTCCCCTTGGTTTACAAAAACCTGACCAGTAAGAACCAATAACAGTATCAAGAATCAGGCTATTAATGAAAATTCAAACAGCAACATAACTATCATTTTTTCCCCTTTAGGCTCTTCACCTGCAATAGATTTATAATTTTTAATGCTACATGTGTAGCAAACTAGTCTTCTGCACTTAAACTCCCACTATCTGGATTACTACCTTTTGCTCACAAGTCAATCCTTGCTTTAAAATTCCTTGCATTTGGTTCCACAAACAGAAGCAATTTGTGCTGTACAAATCTGCTTTTACCTACAGCTCTGCTTCTTCATTGCAACCTACACAGCACCATTGATGTTTAATACTTGGATCACTGGAGTACAAGGGCACATACAATTTATCAGTTTGGAGAACTGAGTTAAATGCTTAATGCAGTAGAATAAAAGAAGCTATGATAAAAGGCCACAACTGGGTACAGCATTAAGCACTTTTGATAGCTAAAGAGTTGTCAAATATTGTCTAACTTTATGTGACCTAGATAACAAAAAGTTTTAAGCATGAATAGTTCTTTTTCAGGTACACAGAGAAGAACTTGTTTACCACAGATGTACCTTTCCAAATGATCACTATAATAAGATACTGAACAACTCTACTGCCCAACAGAATACCCAGCTGTTTCTACACTTATCTCTTGTTCTCTGAAGATAATACACAGAATGAGAGACACTAATTCACCAATAAAAGCAAGAGACAGTTGAGCCTTGCCTTCTGCTGGACCACGCTTCCATACCACATCAGAGACTACTAGCCAGTGGATCATCACTAACTTGCAATGCATGTAAAGACAATCTTAGAATGGTCACAAAAGAAAATTCACATATACACTCAGAAGGTACACATCACAGTTTGTTCAAGTTACTGGTTTGCTTTCCTCACTAAATGACTCAAGTCGGGTTGCTGGATTGCTATACAAGCACAAATCAAGAAGTCTTGGCCTTGGCAATAAGCATGAGGGTAACTGACAACAGAGAAGGAAATTCTACAGATCAGGTTCAAGACCATTTAAGGAACCTGAAATCCATGGGATCTAAAGAGATACATCTGTGAGTCTGGAGGGAACTGTCAGAGGAAGTGGTTAAGCCACTATCCATCATATTTGAAAAATTGTGGCAGTCCAGTGAAGATTCCACTGACTGAAAAAGGGGTATGTGGTGAATGAGAGAAGAACGACTGACGTCATCTAACTGGACTTGTGCAAAGCATTTGACACTGTCCCGCACAACATCCTTGTCTCTAAACTAGAGAGACATGGATTTGATGGGTGCACCACGCGGTGCATAAGGAGTTGGCTGGACGGTTGCACTCAAAGAGTTGCAGTTAAGGGCTCAATGTTCAAGTGGAGACTAGTGACAAGTGGTGTTCCTCAGGGATTGGTGTTGGGACCGGTGCTGTTTAACATCTTTGTCAGTGACATGGATGGGGGGATTGAGTGCACCCTCAGCAAGTTTCCTGAAGAGACCAAATTGTGTGGTGCAGTCGACACGCTGGAAGGAAGGGATGCCATCCAGAGTGACCTTGACAGGTGGGCCAGTGCAAACTTCATGTAGTTCAACAAGTCCAAGTGCAAGGTCCTGCACTTGGGTCAGGGAAATCCCAAGCACAAATACAAGGTGGGTGGAGAATGGATTGAGAACAACCCTGGGGAGAAGGACTTGGGGGTCTTGGTGAATGACAAAATTAATATAAACCAGCAGTGTGTACTTGCAGCCCAGAAAGCCAAGTGTATCCTGGGCTGCATCAAAAGCAGTGTGACCAGTAGGTCAAGGGATGTGATTCTGCCCCTCTACTCTGCTCTCGTGAGACCCCCACCTGGCGCACTGTGTCCAGCTCTGGAGGCCCCAACATTGGAAGGAGGTGGACCTGACGGAGTGAGTCCAGAGTAAGGACAAGATGATGATCAGAGGGCTGGAGCACCCCTCCTATGAAGACAGGCTGAGAGAGTTGGGATTGTTCACCCTGAAGAAAAGGCTCCAGGGAGACCTTGTAGCAGCCTTCTAGTACCTAAAGGGATTCCAAGAGAGCTAGAAAGGGAGTTTTCACAAGGGCATGGAGTGACAGGACAGAGGGGAGTGGCTTTAAACTGAAAGAGGGTAGGTTTAGATTAGATATTAAGAAGAAATTCTTCCCTGTGAGGGTGGTGAGGCACTGGCACTTATCTCTGGAAGTGTTCTGGGCCAGGTTGGATGGGGCTTGGAGCAACCTGGTCTAGTGGAAGGTGTCCCTGCCTATGGCAGGGGGTTGGAACTAAAATTGAAATCCCTTCCAACCCAAACCATCCTATGAACTAAGAATATTATCAGCACATGCAGAATGGAAAATATCAGTACTTTCAATTGTAAAAAAGAGAAAATACATAATAGTTTGGATTCATTAAATAGATACATGGAAGAAGACTAATTCTAGTTTATGTGCTTGAAATACAGAAAAGACCAAAAGTGTTCTCAAAGGGGAACTGGCTCAGAAAAAGGGACTAATAAAGCTGTTACAGAATAATTACAAAAATATTAGGAATTCTCAGATCTTTGTTTTCCATAGCAAAAAAAACCAAGTCCTGTAGTGAATTTCATACATTATTCATTAATTATGTACACAAGAGTAAGAAACTTTTCCACTTGAAAAGTTGTTTTTATATATAACAATATTTCAAGTGGTAACTCTTTGGGCATATACACTCCTCCTGCTCATTTAAATTTAACTTAGCACTAACAGAACATTATTTATAGGTTTGAATGCCCAACTTCTTTCTACTCAGAAGTATAAAAAAACCAGTCTGCCCTATTAGTGACCTACCTGAAGAGATGCTTAAGAGGAAGACAGACTTAAAGTGTTGGAATTCCAAAAGATGTTAATTCACACTGCTGCCCTTGAAAATTTCCACAGAGCAGCACAGGTCAGAAGATTGAATACTAGAATTTAATTTAATTATTTTAACTCCAGGAACAGAGACGTAGGGATGCTACAAGTAAAATACCACATTAGAACCTGGCCAAGATGCAGATAACAGCAATGCCCGTATCAGAGCTAGTATTATGTTATTCTTACTCCACTGCAAGGGAGCAAAGTACCTGGCAGAGGGAGCATGTTAGTCACCCTTATTCCTCATGGGCTTCTAATACGGCACAAGTAGCACTACACCCAATGAGAGGTGCATTCCAAGAATGTCACTTTGTGTCATTTACAGCTAAATCCTATTCATAACTCCCCAACTGATAATTGGAAGAATTACTAAAACATTTAATATGAATTTTTAATTTTATATTTTTTTTAATTTCTACTAATTTTGGCAGATAAATTCAAAATAAAGCAGCAGCAAATCAGCTTCTTTAATTCTAAGACTGCTTAGGTTTGTAGATTTAATAGAGCTGCTTTCACACTTCAGTTCTAGTCAAGCAGCAAGTAGCATATCCTATGGAAATACAAAATAAACTCAAAAGAGTCAGTAATAAAATAAACAGTGAGAACAATATAAAACCTTAAACCAGACATCACTGCTACAGTTGTGCACACAGCAAGTAGTAAGGAAGGATCAGAAAGTCCTCTGCACAACCAAGCTTTGTAAACTTACTGTCAAGAGTTGCCTGTGTTCTAACACTGCTGTGTCCATTCTGTAAACAAAGAAGAAATGCATAAATAAATTATCAAATAGGAATATTAAATTTTCAGACAAAACCACACACAGAACATGCTTCATGCAAAATTCTATATTCATTCTAAATTGAAAGACCAAAAAGACAGAAAACTGACTTTTTTACAGCCTTTAACAAAACTACATAATAAAGTTGTCTCAAGTGTAAGGTGTACTGAACATACAGAATCCAGAATCCCATATACTGCCCATAATAAACCCATCAGCTGGAGACCATCCCATCTACTGTATATAACATAAACTTCAGGTTCACACCGATATGAAAGAAAGAATTGCTATAACATATAGGAAATGGTTGTGTTTTTGATCTAATGCAACTCACAATTTTAACTATCCAAGTTACACAGAGACGCCAATTTTTTTCCACTGAAAGATAAGACTTGAGAGGCATCAGTTGTTTTTTGGATAACGCTGGAGTACAGAAGTGGATAGTCTATGCTTGATCCTCACGAGTAAATACGAGCTAGTGCAGAAGACAAGTGTGACTGAGCCATTATATAACAAAGGCCAGGAGTAAATAAACTTACAAACTCTCACAAGTTCCTTAAATATTTGATAAAGTCTCTTAAAACAAAGCTACATTCCATATACAAATAGAGTAGATGCTTTTGAATATCTCCTGAGACTCTCTCTGTCCTAGATTAGATCTCTCCTTATGCTTTTTAAAATAAAAGATTAAACTAATTCCAACTGCAGTTTAAATCCAAAAAAAGAGTAATGTTGGAAGGGCCACAAACAGTTTGGGATTAATTTTCTATGTGCCATATTAATTTAATAAATAATATACCTATGGATAGAAATGGTCAAGTTATGGCAAAATACCATGACTGATATTTACATACAGAAATAGTTCCTTTTTTAAAAACTTAGCTTCAGGGAAGGAAACTCAACTAGAATGTTATGTGTTACTAAGAATAAAGGTCAAACAGCAATTTAAGATGTCAAAACCTATAAAAGCAGAGGCTCTTATATCCCATATACAAGAAACGGCTACAAAATAGGAAAAGAAAAAACCACAGAATGTACTTGGGAATCAAAAATACCACTTGGCTTGGTTAAAATATTAACATATTTGGGTAATACAAGTCTAACACCGATAAGAATATTTCCCTTTTTTTAAAGTCTTATTTCAGAATTTTACTCACTGTAACTGCAACAGGAGTTGGTTCAGATGGAGCCATGGAGCTTTCGTACACTATCCTACTAAGTACAGAAGTCTGCTCATAGGAGGAAGTTGTTACTGGGTTAGTGCTCTGGGATGAGCAGGTCAGACTGGAAGAGCTGATGGCAGAGGTTGTGTAGGTGGACTCCTGTACTGTATTGGATATTGGCAGAGAGGTATTCAAAGGATCACTGGAAAAAGTAAAAATTATTTATCAACATGGCAAACTACATCTCAAATACCTTTGTGAAAATATCAGCTCCTATATAGTTATCTAGAACTACCTTAAACATGGAGTCAAATATACATTATTTATACTACAAAATCTAATAATGAGAAAAAAATATATAATTTTACTTTGGTCCCCAGTAATCACTGCTTCAAAACCATCCGCTGCACTAAGCACCATTCATCTTCCTCTTGCCAGCCCAACCAAAACAAGAGTTTACACACAAGCACTTTTTTTGGTCATGTTATTTTCACCTTCTCAAAGGATATATTAATGAACATAAACTCTTTTTTAAACAAATAGATCCATAAAGTCTGGTATATGATGAGAAACACAGTCTCTTTTAACAACATAATTCTGTCATTAAAGTAGCAGTCTAATAGAACTATGCAAAGAGGAAAAATACTTTAAAATATGCAGGATTGTTTTACTTTCAAAACAGCTTGCCTTTTTTTTTTTTTTAACAGAACTAGAAATTAATGTGAAAGTTCATTTTTAATAATATTTCTGATTTAACTTTGGGAATCTTCTTACTGAAGCCAATTTTTGAATGAATAAAGAAGAAAAAAAGGGTTACTAGTATGTTGGCATTTCTCATCATTTATCATTGGCCATTTTAGCATTTCAGTAAGAGGTTCTGCATAATGAAAGACCGGCTATTTTTCTCATCCCATAGAAGCATCAGATCTGTAATCTGGTGCCAATCTACTAATACACATATATGGCACAAAGGTCATCTTTCCTGGACCAAAAAGCAGGGAAAAAATTGTGTTGTGAGGAACAAACCCTCAAACAAATTTGAAAATCAGGAAAATTAAACAAAAAATAGCAATTTTATAAAGGGTAGCTTAATTATAAGGTTATATACATTCATGTCATCTCCAGCTTCATACTGACCCATCCAGGGAGGTTTTGATTTTAATTAGAAAATAAATGTCTTCTTTAAGATGTCATCCACAGAAAAGACTTCACAGAATCAATTAGGTTGAAAAAGACCTCTGAGATCATTGAGTCCAACCTATAACCAAATACCACCTTGTCAACCAGACCTTGGCACTAAACACCACATCCAGTCTTTCCTTAAACACCTGCAGAGACGGTGACTCTACCACCATCTGGGGCAGCCCATTCCAATGTCTAATCACCCTTTCTGGGAAGAAATTCTTCCTAATGTCCAACCTGAACCTCCCCTGTCGCAGCTTAAGACTGTGTCCTCTTGTTCTGTCCCTTGTTCCCTGGGAGCAGAGCCCAACCCCCACCTGGCTCCACCCTCCTGTCAGGGAATTGTATGTAGAGAGTGAGAAGGTCCCCCCTGATTCTGCTTTTCTCCGGGCTAAACATCACCAGCTCCCTCAGCTGCTCCTCATAGGACATGTACTCCAAACCCTTCACCAGTTTTGTTGCCCTTCTCTGGACTCACTCTAGCACCTCAATGTCCTTCCTGAATTGAGGGGCCCAGAACTGGACACAAGACTCAAGGTGTGACATCACCAGTGCCAAGTACAGGGGAAGAATCATTTCCCTGGACCTGCTGGCCACACTATTGCTGATACAGGCCAGGATGCCACTGACCTTCTTGGCCACCTGGGCACACACCTTACATGTCACCATATTTCTCCCTCTTATTACATGGCAATTGTGCCTTGACATTTTGGGCACAAACTTGACCCCTTAAAGAAGACATGCAAAAATGCAGGAGGGGAACTCACACATACATGACAGATTTTGAGTACAAGCTATTGTTGGTTGCCTGGCTGGTATTCTCACTGCTTGAAGTTGATCCAAATTCTGTGAGCGTAGGCTCTGATCCAAACTCCAAAGCTCCAAACTGAACATTTAATCCTGTCACATCTGCTGATCCAGGCATCTCCACTGCAGAGGCAGGAATCTTAAAGGAGGAAAAAACCCAACATAATTCCTTTGCATGCACTATCTGTATTAAATATAAAAGTAACTGACAGTCTTGTCCCTTAACTACAGGCTTCTTCAGTTACTGGCTCAGCCTTTGCTGCCAACTAGATCTGTGACAACCCCCCACTTTACATAAATTAACTACATTATTGGAACCTGAAATTAATTAATTGATTCTGTGCCCTGATCTGGAGCTGAAAGGGTAAGACATACTATTCTAAAATATCAAAGTGTCATCTGTGATCATCCCCATCAGCCAATATTCATCTTAGGGCTACTAAGTCAATCCAAAAATCACATAGTAACAGTCATTTTCCACACAGAACAATTAGATACGTGCTTGAAAAAGACATCACTGTATTTTGAACCTAAAACCTATTCAGCTTTGAATTTCCTGCTTTATAAACAAGAAACAGACCATGGTCTTAGCTCTCCTTCTTCCTAGAAACTTATATATAGAATCATTAAGGTTGGAAAAGACCATTAAGATCAAGTCTTACCATTAATCTAAGTCCACAATGAAACCATGTCTCTAAGCACCACATCTACACGTTTTTTAAATACCTCCAAAGATGGTGACTCCACCACCTTCCTGGGCAGCCTGTTCCAATGCTTGACAACCCTTTCCGTAAAGAAATTTTTCCTAATATCCTATCTAAACCTCCCTGGGCGCAATTTGCGGCCATTTCCTCTTGTCTTGTTAATTGTTACCCGGGAGAAGAGACAGACCCCCACCTGGCTCCATCCTCCTGTCAGTTGTAGAGAGGGAGAAGGTCCCCCTGAGCCTTATTTTCTCCAGGCTAAGCCTCCCCAGCTCCCTCAGCTGCTCCTCACAGGACTTGTGCTCCAGCCCCTCCACCAGCTTCATTACCCTTCTCTGGACTTGCTTCAGAACCTCAATATCCTTCCTGAATTGAGGGGCCCAGAACTAGACACAGGACTCGAGGTGTGGCCTCACCAGTGCAAAGTACAGAGGGAAAATTGCTTCCCTGATCCTGCTGGCCATACTATTGCCGATACAAGCTTTTGTATGCTAATATGTTTACGATGGACAAACTCGATTACTCACCTTGGATGCTGGAGTTATCCTCCGTTTTGGTGGTTTTATCTGCTTCTGCTGGGTTTGGTGGGCAGTCACTTCCGGGTTATCCATAGATATAGTAGGCAGCTGTAACATTTTGCTAACAGCGGTAGAGGTGTCTACTGGTAATGGCTCGTGGAGTTTTACCTGGGAGAAGGACTGCAGCCCAGGAGGAGGAACAGGGGCTATCTGTGTTTGTTGTTGCTGTCGCTGGGTCAGATGGATTAGAACTGGGGATGGTTGAGGATGCGATTTCAAGTCTGGTCAGTGTTGGGAAAAAGAAACATCAAAATTAAAGTACTGAACTCTGCTCTTCATGCTTCTACCCTTTATGAAACAATCTGGGTGACCTGACACACTGGACAGCTATGATTTTATAGAACATGCAAGTCTTTTTCAGACATCACACAAGTTTCATACCGAAAATTACAACTGTAATATTAAAGCTAACATTTGATATTCACTACTTTAAATAAACAGCTGTAGGTAAGCATTATTTAGAATCATTGAAATGTTTAGGTTGGAAAAGACCTCTAAGATCGAGTCCTACCACTAATCCAGCACTGCCAAATCCAACACTAAACCACGTCCCTAAGCACCACATCTACACAGCTTTTAAAATACCCCCAGGGATGGTGACTCCACCACTTCCCTGGACAGCTTGACAGCACTGTCCGTGAAGTAATTTTCCCTAATATCCAATCTAAACTTTCCCTGGCACAACTTAAAGTTGTTTCTTCTTGTCTTGCCATATGTTACCTGGGAGAAGAAACTGATCCACACATTGCTACAACCTCCTTTCAGTTAGCTGTTGAGAGCAATAAGATCCCCCGAGCCTCCTTTTCTCCAGGTTAAAACACCTCCAGCTCCCTCAGCTGCTCCTCATAGGACTTCTTCATTGCACTTCTCTGGACACACTCCACCACCTCAATATCTTTCTTGTAGTGAGAGGCCAAAAATTCAACACGGGATTCGAGCTGTGGCCTTACCAGTGCCCAGTACAAGGAGAATGATCATTGCCCTGGTCCTGCTGGCCACACTATTGCTGATACAGGCCAGAATGCTATTGGCCTTCTTGGCCACCTGGGCACACACTGGCACATGTTCAGCTGGCTGTTGACCAGCACCCCCAGGTCCTTTACTGCTGGGCCACTTTCCAGCCACTCTGCCTCAGCCTGTAGCACTGCAGGGGGTTGGTGCAAGTACACAGTTTGTGGTAATTGGGAATGGGGCTGCTGCCGAACCTCATCCCTAATGGGCTACAACTGTGAAAAGCAGGTGAACAGTATTGAAAGCAATGAGACATGGAGTGCCGAGTTGTCCTGACCAATCACGAAAGGGAACAGAAAGCACACAGGTGCAATGCATGAACAATGAGGGGTATAAAAGGTTGGGCTAAAGAACAAGAAGAGCAGATGCTTGCAGCCTTTTGAAGGGATGTGATATGATTCTGTATGGGGATGCTTAAAGTTTTCTGATATTGTATGGTGATACTCTGTGTATTGTGGCCATCTCAACTGCAGCATGTGCTGTGGCATATGCTGCAACAGGTTGGTGCGACCCAAGTGAAAGACCCGGCACTTGGCCTTGCTGAATCGAATACCATTGGCCTCAGCCCATTAATTCAGCCTGTCCAGAGCCCTCTGCAGAACCTTCCTACCCTCGAGCAGATCAACACTCCCACCCAACTTAGTGTTCTCTGCAAATTTATAGACCTAGCCAACAGTATACCCATTCAAGCCATGAGCAGCCAGTTTCTCCAGGAGAATGTTGTGGGCGACAGTGTCAAAGGCTTTACTAAACTCCAGGCAAACAACATCCACAGCCTTTGCCTCATCTACTAGGCAGGTTGCCCTGTCATAGAAGAAGATCAGGTTGGTCAAGCAGGACCTGCCTTTCCTAAACCCATGCTGGCTGAGCCTCATCCCCTGGCTGTTCTGTAGGTGCCATGTGATGACAGTCAAGATGATCTAGTCAATTACCTTCCCTGGCAACGAGATCAGGCTGACAGGCCTGTAGTTCCCCAGGTCCTACTTCCGACCCTTCTTGTGGATGGACATCACATTTGCTAAACTCCAGTCTTCTGGGACCTCCTTGGTTAGCCAGGACTGGTGATAAATTATTGAAAGTGGCTTGGTGAGCACTTCTGTCAGCTCCCTCAGTACCCTTGGGTGGAGCCCATCCAGCCCCAAGGACTTGTGTGTGTCTAAGTGATGTAGCAAGTTATTCACCATTTCCCCTTGGATTGTGGGGGCTTCATTCTGCTACCTGTCTCCATCTTCCAGCTTGGGGGGCTGGGCACCCAGAGAACAAACTGGTCTTGTTATAAAAGACTGAAGCAAAGAAGGCATTGAATACCTCAGCCTTTTCCTCATCCTTTGTCACTATGCTTTCCCACACACACAATTAAGGATATTCTCCTTGTCCTGCCTTTTGCTGCTGATATATTTATAGAAACATTTTTATTGTCTTTTATGGCAGTAGCCAGATTAAGTTCTAGCTGGGCTTTGGCCCTTCTAATTTTTTCCCAACATCCTTGTATGCCTTGCAAGTCGCCTGCCCCTTCTTCCAAGGATGACAGACTCTTTTTTCTCCCCAAGTTCCAGCCAAAGGTCTCTGTTCAACCAAGCTGCTCTTCTCCATCAGCTAGTCTTCTGGCACATGAACACTGCCTACACCATTAGAATTTCCTTCTTGAAGAATGTCCGACCTTCCTGGACTCCTTTGCCCTTCAGGACTGCCTCCCAAGGGACTCCATTAACCAGTCTCCTAAAAAGGCCAAAGTCTGCCCTCTGGAAGTCCAACGTAGCAGTTCTGCTGACCCTTATCCTCGCTCCTCCAAGAACCCAAAACTCTATCATTTTGTGATCGCTGTGCCAAAGACAGCCTCTGACCACCACATCACCCACCAGTCCTCTGTTCACAAACAGTAGGTCCAGCAGAGCACCTCCCCCGGTTGGCTCAGCAGCTATGTCAGGAAGTTCTCTTCCACACACTCCAGGAACCTCCTAGACTGTTTCCTCTCCACTGTGATATATTTCCAGTACACATCTGGTAAGTTGACATCCTGGACAAGAACAAGGACTAGTGATAATGAGACTTCTCCCAGTTACTTATAGAATATGTCATCTGCCTCTTCATCCTGGTTGGGTGGTGTATAACAGACTCACACCTGGATATCTGCCCTGTTGGCCTTCCCTTGGATTCCTCCCTATGAACCCTCAACTGTATCGTTGCCATCATTAAGCTCCAGGCACTCAAGACACTCTCCATAACATACAGGGTTACCCCACTGCCTCTCCTTCCTTGTCTGTCACTTCTGAAGAGTTTATAGCCATCCACTGCAGCTTTCCAGTTGTGTGAATCATACCACCATGTTTCCATTATGGCAGCTATGTCATAATTTTCCTGCTGCACCATGGCTTCCAGCTCCTCCTGTAGTCCATGCTGCGTGTGTTGGTGTAGATGCACTTCATTTGGGCTATTAATCCTGACGCCTTTTTGGGGAGAGGAGAAGCTCCAATTCCTGTGTGACCATTCTCAGGCACTTCTGGGATTTCTAACAAACCAATAACCCTTGTGTCTTTGCTGCCTCATGGATCTCCATCTGATGTCGTTTGGGTTTTGCCTTTTTTTCTTTTATAGGTTCTCTGTATTCTTCACACATATATTTGTAGCTCTGTAGCCTGTTTTATTAGTGACTAGTTTTCCCAGTACTTTTCCATGGCCTTTCCTTAGGCAGAAAGACAAAACAAATCCCACAGCTCCAAGCCCCGGGAGGTACAAGGCTCCATGCTGTCTTGGTTCTTCCTGGGAACCAAGGCTAAGAACAACTCCTTGAGATACATTCTCACAGAAAAAGTACAATTAGTGCTGAAAGGGGAGCTCCAGAGAAGGGGCTCGACCTGGGGGGAAATGCATCACCACTGGTCCTCCTAATTGGTGCTTCTTATCAATTATGCTAATTTCCTAAAACATATAAAAATGTACTCACCTCTTGTCCTGGCTTGTAAGATAAGCATGTATTTTATTTGCCATCTGTTGGAGGTGGGGCAGGTATCTTCTGTTGTTGGGCAGTTTTCTTATCTCTTCCAAGAACAATGTCTCCCTCTGGGGAGATATCTTCTGTTAATGGGCCATTGAATGACTCACTGCATGACTGATAAGGTTACATCATCCCATTGTGAGATGCTCAACCCAGAAGGAGGAGCCAAGCATTCGTACCTGCATGAAATCAGCATTTTTTGGGATATCAGGGCAGCCTCTTCCCATTGTATTCCCAGAGGAGCAGCTTCTCCTCTGCTGGATTCCCAGAGGAGCAGCTTTTTCCCTGCTGGAACCCCAGAGGAAGACCAGGCCCATCTACTCTATCACCAGACCTTCAGAGAAAACTACACCCTTCTACAGGACCACCAGCAGCATTTCATCTGCCACTCCAGGAGGAACAGCCCAGCCACCATTTAACTGGACTATTGCCAACACCCCGACTCCTCAGAGTGTCAGGTTTCTGACTCTATCAGTAGTTTTGTTTGTACTAATTACGTTTTTTTAATTTAGGGTTTTTTTTCCTAGTAAAGAACTGTTATTCTCATTCCCATATCTTTGCCTGAGAGCCTTTTAATTTTGAAATTGTGGTAATTCCGAGGGAGGGGGTTTACCTTTTCCATTTCACGGGAGGCTCTTGTCTTCCTTCACAGACTCCTGTCTTTTCAAACCAAGACACCTCGGCAGGGGGTGGGCTTTTGTGGACATCTTTCCATAACTTCCTCTGAAGGCCTTCAAATAAAGATCCCCTTTTATTTTACCTCCTTTCTAAAATTATCTCGAGTTCCATTTCCAGGTTGGGCAAAAGGCAGCATATCCCCTACCTCCACTGAGATGGCAGACCTAAGGACCTCACTGGCACAGTATCCCTCAAGCACTGGTGTGCTACCCAAAGGCTTCTCTCTAGTGAACATGGGTTTATCCCCTTCGCCCTTCAAATTTAGTTTAAAGCTCTCTCAACAAGCCCTGCTAACTCCTGTGCAAAGATCCTTTTCCCTTTTTGAGACAGGTGGACCCTGTCTGTTGTCAGCAGGCCTGGTTTGTGTAAACTGCCCCATGATCAAAATGAAAGAAAATTCTGCTAGTGACATCAGGCTCGGAGCCAGGTATTGATCTGCTGGCTCTTCCTATTTCTTCCCTCATCCTTCCCTGCAACTGGAAGGCCAGAGATCACTTCTTGTGCTCCTGATCCCTTAACCAGTCACCTCAAGACCCTGAAGTTTCTCTTGATTGCTCTCAGACTTCTTGTTGCAACTTCATCACTGCCTACCTGAAAAATCAAAATTCCGAGTGTCGTGCCAGCATAGAAAGCTTTCTCTTCACATCTTTTACCTGGGCCCCAGGGAGGCAGCAAACTACTTAAAGAAGGGGGTCTGGTCTGCATGTGAAGCCTTCTGTTTCCTTCAGAAGGGCCTCTCCCATGACAATGACCTGTCTTTTTTTCTTTATGGAAGCAGTTTTAACACAGGGCATAGGCTGACTTAACCCCGGCGACATGTCCATGCTAGATGAACCACTGTGCTCATTATTGTTCAGCTCCACTTGCAGAGCCTCATACCTATTATGCCAGGACACCTGGGGAGGTGGGGTAGTCACAGATGAGATGTACCTGCTGCGTAGGGTAGGAACTTGTCGCCATTACCCCCTATCCTTTAAGTCACCACGTTAAGCCAAGCAGAAAAGATAGGGGATCTTCCCTGTCATGTGCCTTGTCTGACTGGTGGCCCTGTCCCAGGAAAGGTAGGATTTTGCTCCAGTAGTCTCTCTCTTGCACTCCCTGATACTCCTCAACCTACTCACCTCCTCCAGAGTTCTGTCACTAAGCAGAGGAATTCCTCTAGTTGGGCACACCTCCCAAAGGCATGTTCACTACTGCTGTCCAATACTGGTATAAGAGCAGGGCACACCCTGCAGCCTGACACCTGGGTGGTAGCATGTTCCCTCCAGAGCTCTGCTTATGTAGCTGTTTAAGTCATGGTGTGTGCAGAGCTTAGAGAGGTCAGCTGTGGCTGCCTGGCAAGTGGATACCATTGCTCCCTGATTAAGCTGGCAGGGCCTCCTGGACAACCTGCTGCACCACTACCTGGCTTAAGCGCCACAGGGGGAAGTCACCATTACTCCTGGCCCTGCCCATGCCTCGTCAGTCACTCTCATGCAAGCTCCTGGCTCCTGATAGGTCTCTGTCTTGGTTTGAAAAGACAAGTGTCTGCTAAGGAAGGCAGGAGACTCCCATGAAATGAAAAATATAAATGCCCTCCCTCCAAATTATTATAATTTTGAAATTAAGGGCCTCTCTGGCAAAGATATGGGAGTAGGAATAACAGTTCTTTATTAGGAAAAAAATAAAAGCAATAAAGAAAAATGCAGTAATACTAAACAACACTGACAGAATCAGAATACAACCTGACACCTTGCTGGTCAGGGTGTTGGTAGCAGTCCGATTAAATGGTGGCTGCAGTCCTCCTGGAGTGACAAATTGAAACGTAAACTTTAAGGCATTTAGAGATTTTGAGGAGCTAAGATTTTAGCTAGAAATAAGCCTTACTAGAGTTAATTAAAATAAGAATAATAAATGAGTAGGCCTTGATGAAGTTAGGAGTTAGTAGTTAACTAATAATTAATTGCTTGTCAGCACAATGTTTGGTTAGCTGGGTTTATAATGAAGAATATAGAAACTGATAAATAGCTTTTAGGAACATAAGACAATTGTGGGCCTCCTCTGTTCTGAAACCAATTGAAGACAAGGAATGGGAGTTCTACCAAGAGTTCATTTGTCATACCTGCATTGAAAAGGTAGAAAGGTCAGAACGAGGAAGACTTCATTTACTTCCTCATTTTGGGACCCCTCCCCATAAAAGGGACCACCGACCCATTTCAAGGGACAAACTACGCATGCTTAATAGCTTTTGGAGTGATTAGCATACGAAGCGGGGAATGGGATGTACCAAAATTATGAATATGCAATTGTATTTTGTATATTCAATACTTGTATGGATAAAAAGACTCTGTAATCACCTGGAAGGCGCGGTGTGTATTTGGGAGCTATCCCGCACGCTGCCCGGCGTCGAATAAACATACACTTTCTAACTTTAAACTGTTAGAGAGTTTTTGTCCGTCACAGTTGGATATCGATACTAGATCAATATCCATATTTCTTTAATAAATCAAAATGTAGTTCTGTTGAAGCAGTGATCCTGTAGAAGGGTGTAGTTTTCCTCTGAAGGTCCAGTGCTGGTGCAGATGGGCCTGGTCTTCCTCTGGGAATCCAGTGGAGAAGAAAGCTGCTCCTCTGGGAATCCAGTGGGAAAAGGCTGCTTCGTGTTGTTCTAATTCTCAGATTATATCCAGGTAGGAATCCTTGACTCCTCCTCCTGGGTAGAACTTCTCACAAAGGGATGATGTAATTTTATCAGTCATGCAGTGACACTCAATGGCCCATTAACAGAAGATATCTCACCAGAGGGAGAATTGGTCATGGAAGAGATAAAGAAAACTGCCCCACTTGATTTTAACAGGTGGCCCAATTAACAGAAGATAACTGCCCCACCTCTAACAGATGGCAATAGAATACATGCCCCCAGCCACATCTTGCAACCTAAGACAGTCTCGATGCTCTCCTGGGGTTTCTAGACACCGTCACCAACCACTTCCCATAGATCCCCTGCTGTGCTGCAAAATGCACCTGCACCCGAGCTGCTTGCCTTGGCTTTCTTAAAAAATATAAAAGCAAACCTATTCGTACAGTGGTGTAACATTATCATACATTAGGCCCCAAAAAGTGGCTTTGATTATTTTAGTCAAATACTGCAAGTTTTATTGCAGTTAATTGTGACAATAAAATGTGAGTACTTCCAAGGTGGTCTAGAGTTGCAACTTAGTGGAATTATGAGTTAGGATTCCCCTGCCCCTACAAAAGAAAATGTTTTCAACAGAAATAGGAAGTCATCTACCATCTCAATATGGCTGAAAGTCAAGAGACACTGGATGCTGACAGGTTTTTTCCCAAGACTTCCCCTTTCATATTTTCAGACACTGAAAGCTTCTCAGAGCACTGGTCAACAACCATAAGAGATACATGCATTTGCAGTGTGAAGGTTTTTTTATCCAGTTGAAGTGTATTAGAAAGCAACTTAAAATGTACATAAACATTTTTTTCAGAATTTCTGCATGTCAAAGATTATAACTGCTACCAAATGGGCTGCTTATCTATCTGGAAACCTACACTCACACAGCAGAGAGATACAAGAGCTATCACTCTTCATAGTGAGAATATTGCTAGGAACTACACTGTAAAACCAAGTTTGTGTCATTTTCATGGGTTTCTACTAATTTTACTCAATTAAATGAAAAATCCATACAATTATGAATATAAAAAACTGGGTAACCTGCATAATTTTCAGCACACATAAACTTCACACCGGGAAGGAATGCTGAGATGTGATGCACATTATGAAGAAATTATGTAGTACTCATTCAAAATTCATGCAATGATGAGAAGAGAAAAAACTGTGGAAAAAGACAAAATATCGTACAACCTAGAAGCAGCATAGGCACACTGAAAATAGGTATTTTCCAGGATTTGTTGAGAAACAAAGTGTACTGGTTTTGGCTGAGGTAGAGTTAATTTTCTTCTCAGTGGCTGCTATGGGGCTATGCTTTGGATTTGTGCTAAACACAGGGTTGATAATTTAGAGGTGTTTTTGTTATTGCTGAGCTTACACAGAGTCAAGGCATTTTCTGCTCCTTGTACGGCCACACTGGGTAGGAGGCTAGAGGTGTGTGGGAGGTTGGGAGGAGACAGTTGGGACACGTGACCCAAACCGACCCAAGGGATATTCCAGACCATGAGACATCATGCTCAGTATATAAGATGGGGGAAGAAGGAGAAGGAGGAGGACATTTGGAGTGATGGCATTTGTCTTCACAAGTCACCATTACACATGATGGAGCCCTGATTTCCTGGTGATGGCTGAACAGCTGCCTGCCCATGGGAAGGGGTGAACAAATTCCTTAGTTTGCTTTGTTTGAGTGTGTGGCTTTTGCTTTCCTTATTAAACTGTCTTTATCGCAACCCACGAGTTTTCTCACTATTACCCTTCCAATTGTCTCCCCAGTCCCACTGGTGGGAAAGGGAGTGAGCACCTGCACAGGGCTTTGTTTCTGGCTGGGGTTAAACCACGACACAAAAGTCACAACAAAATTCCACTTAAATATTCAAGCATATTAAATCAAATATGTCATTACATGAAAGCTCAACAACCTCTAAAGATTCAATGGCATTTATAGATAGACTTAAGACTCTCAAAACCTAGTTTGTGATATAACGTCTATTACCAGCAACTAAGTGTAATACAGTGCTGTAACCAATTATATTATTAGGATTATGTTGTTTTACAAAAGCTTTTCATGTAAGGCCATTTTAAACTGCTACTGGCGTTAAGAGATCTTATAGGCTAACAGAGAGAAAGCTATATCAAAGCACTTACCAAACTGACTAAGGACTGACGCCTGGGTAACGGGCAGTTTTTGATCCCAGGATGATGTGGTAGTGGTAGTAGAGCTATTATTGTTTTGTTGAGAGGTAAACTGACCCAAACCTGGAGATTTCAATTGGTCCAAGATTTGGAATCCAGTAGAGTTTTTCAGTTTAGGAGACCCATGTTCTCGAAAGCCAGGACAAAGGACTGCAGACTATCACGAGACCAAAAAAAAAAAAAAAAAAAAAAAAAAGGGGTGTTACCAGATTTCTGAGAGAGACAGGAGACAGGACATGATTTATATTTAGAGTGAAGGGTTGAGCTACCCTCAGACTCTCAGACTAGGCGTCTGATAAGCGGCCTTGGTGGGGCCTTGGAAGCCTTTGACGCAGTAAGAAAATAGTTGTTGTGCAGTTAGAAATTACTTTAAGGTAACCGTGGTGTTAATAGGTTTTCTGGGTGTGAATTAGTGTAGAGCTATAGTGCAGAACTCTAGCCACTTTAAGGCAAAGACAAATAATGTTTGCTGACCAATGATAGTGTGCTTACAATTTGTAAACTATACTGAAGTGTATATAAACTGCCATCTTAGAGACAATAAATGGAGAACATAGCTTTAACCATATTGCCTCAACCCGTGTTTGTCCAGTCCAGTTACCCTCATATTATAAGAAGTCCCTAGCTTTTAAGGGAGAAAGAGTGGAGTTGAGTATTTAATAAATAATTTGAACATAACCATAGGGTCAATGCCTACAGCTGCTATTTGGCAGTAACCAAAACCTCTTCAGTCCTAGATTACTAATAAATCACAGAATTGTTAGGGTTGGAAGGGACCTCTGGAGATCATCCAGTCCAACTCCCTGCCAAGGCAGGGTCACCCAGATCAGGTGACATAGAAGCAGATCCAGGTAGGTTTTGAACATCTTCAGAGAGGGAGACTCTACATCCTCCCTGGGCAGCTGTTGTAGTGCTTTGCCACCCTCAGTGTAAAGAAGTTCTTCCTCATGTTGAGGTGTCACTTCTTGTGCTTTAGTTTATGACCAATAAAAAAATCAGCAGTTGGAGCATATGACCAGACCCACTCTGGTTATCACTGATATAACTTCATCACTAACTACGACAATACTGATTTACTTTAATCCACACATCTTAAAATAGCATGCATTTACTAATAGTTGCATTTATTCTGTGAAAATCAGTTTAAGTTCCCAATTTCAAGCCCTCACTATTGACTCAGAAATAATCAGGTTTACACAAAAAGCAGTCAGATATGTGTTTGCAAATAACACACCAAAGTTTTCTGGCATAGAACTCTTTATTATAAAGAAGTGATTTCATCCTAAATCAGCATGCAGTAAATACATCCGCTCTCTACTCAAAAATTAATACAAGTACTTCATGTGAACTGAGAAACAACTACTTAGCAAAACCAGGAAAAAAAAGTAAATTTTATTTTGTGTTTGTGAATGGAAGGAATGAAATTAAGAATTCCTTCAACATTTGCAACCTGAACTTTATAAATACCGAACCATCTCATTAAATAGCCAGTACTGGAAAAGTTACTTAACCGGAAATATTTACTCATTAGGAATATTTAGAAAGCATAAGATATTTTTACCAGACTTTGAGGAGAATAAGAGTTTACAGCACTGGAGCTGCCAGTTCCTGATGCCATCTGGGTGCTGTGCTGAGAATTTGTGAAGACAAGGGCTTGGCCAAAGGTCTGTTGCTGGGGAGCCTCAAATGAGTTGCCTTCTGTCTCTTGGGTAAGGGTCACAGGCTTTTCGGGCTTTTGAAGCAGCGTTACCAAATCAATGCTGTAAGACAAAGCAAAGTTTGGCTGGAATAAACACAATGATTAGACTGTGCTGAAACTGAAGAAAGCACGAATACTAAAGCTGCCATACCAGCAACAGAATTATTCTGCTAGCTGAAACTTACCACTACAGGTAGAATATAAATTCTTTGCTCTCATTTAAAACATTATCAAATGTATATCATCATGTATCACATAAATAACCTATATGATTAATATAACCAAGTAACTGAAGACAAGTCATAAAAGATACATTGTGTTTAAGCCGATCACTCCTGCCAACTCTTTATATATATTGATAATCCACATTATCTGTATATCACAAAGAGCAAGGGATCAAAGTCCTACCTCTGTATTGGGTAGGTATACAGACAGTAAAGAATTAAGTCACATGCAGCAGTTGAGTATGTGATGGTATGGAAGTCACAAGAGCAATGGAAATACAAGCTATGTTTCTCAGATAGTAGGCACATATCCAAAACTACTTTACCATACACACCTGAGCAGAATGAGAAATGTGATTTTTTTTTTTACATTTAACATGGCCTACTAACACCTACATGTTAACACAGATTTATCCAAAGAAAGGCAAAGCATTCAGACAATAAATCTACTCAAAAAATTCTGACAAGTTTATCCTAAATATACCACAGGCTTGGGCTGAAGAGCTGCTTCCAGCACTTTGATTAGCATAGATTTTTTAATGTCCAAGCCTTTCTTATGGCAAATAAAAAACCAAACAAACAACCAAAACAAAAAAACACAAACCACAAAACAATACACCAGAACTTGAGCTGATGAACTAAAATATTTTCTAACATAAATTGAGGGACATCCACTGGAAGAATATTTGCATTAAAACAACAAATGTGAGCATATCACAGAATAGTTAGGTTTCAAAGGGACCTGTGGAGATCATCTAGTCCAACCCTCCTGCCATATCACCTTTAAGAAGGAAAGGAATGGAATATACACTGTAAGCCAACTGACACCATGCCTCCTCCAGGTCACACCCATATTATAATGAAAATTTTGTTGCAGTCTGAAGTATAGCAGTACAGCTGTATCAGGATGTTTGGGACCATTAGGCCATCTAGTTTTCAGATGTCATGCTATCCAACTACAGAAGTGTTCATCATACAACCTTAACCTGCTCTCTGAGGCTAATGCAGGCAGCTGATTCCACATAATTAGCCAGGAATTTGGTGAAGACAAAGACAAGCAAAGGTAGCAACTGCCATATTTTTCATTCTCTAGCTGAACTCTATATCATCAGTTAAGGCAAGTAATTGTGATGGCAAGGTAATTTTCCTGGTAAGCAACACAAGCTTTTCTGTCAAGATATTTGTCAAAGCATTAAATTCTGAACACTTTCTATATCCACAAGGGCAGGGTTTTCATTTTCTGGACAGCAAAGCCAGAGCTTCTTTTTCAACAACAGCAGCACAGTTTTCTTACCAGCTATTTTTGTTCCTGCCAGTAAGCAGTCTTTGAGCAGAAGTCAGTATTATGTTCATGGATTTGCTAAGTTTGGCTCCACTTCTGTAGTCAATAAAAGGTAACACAGGAACCCACAAAAGCAAGACTTTCACAATTTTGAAACTAGCTTGACCAATCTCTGGTCAAGGCTGCCCTGTGTTTTAGTCAACATTTTATATGTGCAAGCTAGCATTGCTTCAACAAGCAGAAAGTTTTTAAGGTATAGGGAAACTATGGAAGATCTTACCTTTGCCTAGGAGTCACATGATTCTCAGCTGGAACAGAGGAAGCAATGAAGACTTTTGTTTCAGAAAGCTGAAAAAAGTGTGTACGGGGGAGAATTATTTTAATCATACACATGCTCACACCAGTACTGTGACATCTTCAGAAATTCCATCTTGGTCACACACTTTTAAGATAAAAGTAAAGTCAAACTATCATTACAACCAGTTATGCTGCAGCTCTGCTTAAAAAGACAAAAACATGTAGTCGAACTTCAGCAGTCTTCTCCACAGAATCAAGTACCAATTTAATTAAAGTGTTAGGAAATTTGATCTACTGAACACTGAATGGTATACTAATGTAACTACATCCATTTGGGAAATAGTTTAATTAAAAACTATACCAGTAGAAAGTAATTAGTGTGACAGATGGTATATCATCAGTGTGCAGACATAATTTAGGACTCCATAGAGCAGCTCTGATAAATCTCATTGCAGAAGTCTAACACATTGCACTGTTCCCAGTCATTTCATGTATCGCTGTTTTACATTTCAGCCCACATCATCAGTGGAAGCAAGTTTGCACTCAGGTATGTACAGTGAACTAGCATTCATGGTTCTTTCTTGGCACTTCTAGAGTGGCAAAACTATCTTAAAAAGATTGCTCTGCAAGCATGAGTTTGAAAACAAGAAAGGGAGAACTGTGCAATTGCTTATACTAGTATAACAAGAAAAGCCAGCCACAGCAGAAAACTACTGCTTCCACCATGCTGTTACAATAAAAATAGATACTTGCACAGGTAGCTGGGGAGGGGGAGCTGGTTGGTTGGCATTTGGGGGAGAAAGGGGGTGATTTTGGTTTGTAGGGGAGTTTATTGTTTCTTGTTTGGGATTTTTTTAATAGCTTTTCTTTTTAGAAAAATAGTAGTTAAACAACTGCAACTTCCTATGGCTAATTCATTTCTATTGACAGAAATATTTGCAAACCAGAATAAGTGTTAAGCCAGTACAGGTTTGATTTAACAAGGCAGAGATATGACTGTATAATGGTTAGATTTTAAATTAAATTTGCACAAAATCACCCTTAACTACTTTGGTGTAGCTCTGTATTTAGATTAAAGAATAAGTGACCTATTCAAACATGCACAAAGAATCCCTTTAGAATGTGACATTTGAATGTAGCTCTTCCAGGAAATTATGCATTTTTAATTGCTAGCAGCCCAGTTTAAAGGACATCACAGATATGAAGTAATATCATCTGCCATCCCACAGGCAGCTCTACTGAAAGCACATATGTCCCTGTACATGGTCATCTGGGATTCGTCTGTGAAACATTTGATTTAAGTAGGATGCAGAAGGTCTGACTGGGAGCAAATCACTTACTACTCAGAGGCAAAGTTCAAATGTTTCATGTGCTCTCCCCTAGCACTACACTGGGTCATGAAAAAATTGGTACCACCACAATTCCTCCCTTCATTTCCTTCCCCTCCTGCTAATACAACATATTTTAATACCATCTTTCTGGAACACAACTCTGTCCTGAGCATAATGCTGCCAGCCTGCAACTCTATGTACTGACCAAAACAAAAAAGGTTCAGCTCAAGCATATTTCCAATTTAAAAGGCTGTTTCTCTATTGCTCAGCTCTTTCCCCACCATATGTGTTATTTTATAACAATGCATACTGTACTTTCTGTGGTGTTATGAGACTCCTGCATTATATGGCACAAGGAGGTCAGCTAATGGCACAAGCAGCAGCTTATGGTTTGCAATCTCTTGGTTAAATAGCAAATTCTTTGTAATGTCAAAAGTTTCTTATGCTCACAATACCCAGGATAAGAGAAACCATGGCCAAAACACTGATGAATCCTGAAAACTAAGTAATTGAAGAGCCTGAGGATGTTTGTGACAATGCAAAAGTATGCTTGACGTGAGAAAGGAAATGTTCTCTTCAAGTGAACCAGCATGCAAAATAGACATCTCCAGCTACCAGCTTGGCTACACTGAAGTCTACACTACACCCTGCAGCAAACTCACTGCCACAAGCTCCAAACACCTAATTCAAAAGTCTGATGGGATTACAGCACTTGTCCAAACACGTACTTTGTGCAGCAGCAGCTGAAAAGCTTTATTACACAGATGTATTTAGTATTTCTTAGAAGTAATATCAGCTCCTAACAAAGTTATTTACGTTCACTGTACACTACACTCACAAATCTTTCACTGAGGCTCTGGCATTTTCCCAGGACTGAATGAACAGTTGTGAAACATTTGCAAGCAGCAGCCCCACAAAGGTATTTCCTCCATCTGCAGTAAAATGTCTGTGCTTTTAATCTCCTGTTTCTATGATAAAAATCATTCTCCAATCACCAGACATAGAATATATTTAACAACTAAGCTATCAGGTCCTATGGACAGTTGATAAGTGAGGACCACAAGAAAATATACTCTGGCATACTCATAAAAACTCAACAGCAACAAATCAGAAATAACAAAACCTTATTCGTGTTTTGACATGATGTACTGAAGTTAAAGAAATTAAAACAAGTTCTTGTGCTGCTTCCTGGTAAAAGAAACACTCACACTAATATTTTTTTTTTTAAGTGTTGCCATTGTTTCAAATAAAAATATAAAAATTACCAATATTATATACAAAATGTTTGCCTTCAAATACTTTCCAGCAATTAGTATGTTTTCTATTTCTTCCCTTCTGATAGTTTCTGTAATCAAACTTAATTTTATTTAGCCAGAAGTATATAATCACAATTTTAAGAGGAAAACCTAGAGCCATCTATAGTACCTCAATATTTGTCTGGTCCTTCATTGTCCATACAACCTTCAATTTTCACTGCAAAGAGTTTCCTCTATTTAAAAGCATACTGACAACATACTAGTGGCAGCAGCTCTCTGGCCACAGAGAGCAACACACAACTTTCCCAGGCATTGTCCTGGGGAAGACTGTGAGAAGATCAGAGAAATGAATTCTTAGCTTCACTTGCTGCACCTGTTTTTGTGAACATGTGAAATGTGTTATGAAGATTTGTTTACCAATGGGAGGTTTCTTAATTGGCCAATGGTGATGGTGTTTAGATTGAAGGACCAATTGGGTCCACCTGTATTGTGACTGTCTGTAAGGGCAATGGGTTTCTTAATAAGTATAGTATAATAAAGTGATAGATCAGCCTTCTGAGAATCATGGAGTCAATGCTAATTATTACCTGGCAGGGGGCCTGCGAGGACATATACTTGCTCAATACTCACTACTAAAGATAATTACCAGTCTTTTCTAGTAATTAAATCACAGAAATAAAACCGTTCTCAGGTCAAACAACATGAAATGTCACTCACCTGCACCTAACTTGTACTTAACTAGGGAACACCACATTTAAACAAAAATATTCTTCAAAAAAACACCTAGTCTTTACCTGCAGACAGCAAATACATAAACTTCCTTGGTTCTTTCAATCATTAGTCCTGCTGCTAGAATTGTTTATAATACATTTAAAGGCATGGATCCATTTTCCAGCCACAGGTTCAAAATGCCATTTTCTGCTAGACTAAAACAAGAACCCATTATATACTAATAAAGTAACCTTTTCAGATTCAGTAAATTAAAAATCTCACTCTCAAACACCAATACTATCAGTAAATATTTTAACCTATTTTCCACGTTTTGTTTTGTAAAAGCGATGAAAAATTGGACGCAGTATTTCAGAATCAAGTTCAGGAGAGTCCACATACTGAAATATAAATCAAGAATGTTTAAGAGACAGGGGAGAGTGCCTAAAGACAAAAAGACTACAACAGGGTGGGTTTTTTTTGCCACAGCAACACCTCTTTAGGGGACCATGCTGAGCTGTTCTTTTTTCATTGTCCACGACAATGCTGAAAATTTTTCAGTTGCTGCTTTCCAGACACCAGCCCTTTGTTCCGGATGTGTGCCTTTATTCCTACAAAATAAATGGGCACTTGGCTATATTAAAGTATTTTTCATTTGCAAACGGGTCAAATCTAACAGCGCTTCAGATTTCTGTATGACTGGCTTACTTTTAATGGCCATTTCAAATTTTTTTTTTTATTTCTAATAATTTTATTCAGCAGTGATCTTATTACATCCAAATCATTGATAAAGACACTAGATGGCATCTGGCCTGGGACTGGATTACTTTATAGCCCTCCTAAAAATGCCCTCCTGCAAAAGATTTCTTGGCTAAAATTTTCATGGCAGCTTTCAATCCACGTAATGTGTTTCATAATAGCATGTAATTATATGTTCTGGTTTGAAAACAAAACCAGTGAGAGACTCCAAGTCAGAAATACAATTTATTAGGAAACGTGAATAAGAAAACAAAATACATGCAATAATACAAAAGAAAAACCGCTGACAGAGTCAGAATACAACCTGACACCCTTTTTGGCCAGGGTGTTAGTAGCAGTCCTCCTGGAAATCCAGTGGAAAAGCCTGAGTCTGGTGTCCCAAAAGCCCAGATTATATCCAGTTAGGCATCCTTGGCTCCTTCCTCTGGGCGGAGCATTTCACATTGGGATGCTGTAACTTTTATCAGTCATGTAGTGACATTCAATAGCCCATTATCAGTAGATGTCTCCCTGGAGGGAGAATTGGTTGTGGAACAGATAAGGAAAACTACTCACTTAACAGAAGACAACTGCCATACAGATGGCAAATGGAATACATCTTGTCTTGCAATCTGGGACACTATCCACCCCTTATGCTATTTCCATCTGCATCACAATGAAACCTTACACATAGTTCTAACTTAAGACTAGGTTTCCCCATACTTCTGCATTACCCACAGAGTGTAACCAGGTCCTTCAACAAAAACAATCCCACAGATGGGTTTGTCTTTTCCTGAGGTGATATTAATCCAAACAGTCTTTCCTAAAATACCGTTCATATGTACCACAGGGACTTTATCTCCATCCACTATGTGCAAGAGTTCTGACTGGGCAGGACCAGCTCAATTGATGGACCCTCGGGTGTTGACCATCCAGGTGGCTTTTGCTAAGTTCAATTCCCAATTCCTGAAGGTTCCCCCACCAAGTGCCTTCAGGGTAGTTTAAAGTAGTCCATTGCATCGTTCAACTTTCCTGGCAGCTGGTGCATGATAGGGCATGATATATCCACTCAATGCCATGTTCTCTGGCCCAGGTGTTTATAAGGCCATTCTTGAAATGGGTTCCGTTGTCCGACTCAATTCTCTCAGGGGTGCCATGTCTCCACAGGACTTGCTTTTCTAGACCCAAGATGGTGTTCAAGGCAGTAGCATGAGGCACAGGGTAGGTTTCCAACCATTCTGTGGTTGCTTCCACCATGGTCAGTACGTAGTGCTTGCCTTGGTGGGTTTGGGGAAGTGTGATGTAGTCAATTTGCCAAGCTTCCCCATACCCGTACTTCAGCCATTGCCCACTGTACCACAGAGGCTTCACCCACTTGGCCTGTTTGATTGCAGTGCAGGTCTCGCAGTTGTGGATGACCTGTGAGATGCTGTCCATAGTAAGGTCCACCCCTCGGTCACGGGCCCATCGGTATGTTGCGTCTCTCCCCTGATGATCAGAGGCATCATGGGCCCAATGAGCTAGGAATAATTCTCCCTTGTGCTGTCAGTCGAGATCCACCTGTGATATTTTCACCTTGGCACCTCGGTCCACCTGCTCATTGTTGTGACGCTCTTTAATAGCCCAACTCTTGGGTGTGTGCACATCCACATGTCGAACCTTCATGCTCAGCATCTCTACTTGGGTGGCAATGTCCTGCCAAATCTTGATGGCCCAGATGGGTTTCCCTCTGCTCTGCCAGTTGGCCTTTTTCCAGCGACTTAGCCATCCCCACAGAGCATTAGCTACCATCCATGAGTTGGTGTAGAGATAGAGCCTCGGCCACTTCTCTCATTCAGCAATATCCAAAGCCAGCTGGACAGCTTTAAGCTCTGCAACCTGACTCAATCCACCTTGTCCCTCAGTAGCCTGTGCAACTTGTCGTGTGGGGCTCCATTCTGCAGCTTTCCATTTCCAATTAATGCCTACAATTCGGCAGGAACCATCAGTGGAAAGGCCATATTGTCTTTCAGTCTGCGGTAGCTCATTATATGGTGGGGCTTCCTCGGCACATGCCACTTGCTCCTCTTATTCAGAAGACAATCCAAAAGTCTCTCCTTCAGGCCAGTTTGTTATAATTTCCAGAATCCCAGGGTGATTCGGATTTCCAATATGGGTGTGCTGGGTGATGAGGGCAATCCATTTACTCCATGTGGTGTTGGTGGCATGATGTGTGGTAGGAACCTTTCTTTAAACATGAAACCCCAGCACTGGTAGCTGGGGTGCCAGAAGCAGCTGTGTTTCGGTGCCAATTACTTCTGAGGCAGCTTGAACTCCTTCATATGCAGCCAAGATTTCCTTCTCTGTGGGAGTGTAGTTTGCTTCAGAGCCTTTGTAGCTCCAGCTCTAGAATCCCACTGGTCGACCCTGAGTCTCCCCAGGCGCCTTCTGCCAAAGGCTCCAGGACAGACCATGACTCCTGGCTGCAGCGTAGAGCATGTTCTTCACCTCTGGACCCGTCCTGACTGGGCCAAGGACTACCACATGAGTGATTTCCTGCTTGATCTGGGTGAAGGCTTGTTGCTGTTCAGGGCCCCAGTGGAAATCATTCTTCTTGCGGGTGACCAGGTAGAGAGGGATCACAATCTGGCTGTATTCGGGAATGTGCATTCTCCAAAAGCCTATGGCACCTAGGAAAGCTTGTGTTTCCCTCTTTTTGGTAGGTGGAGACCTAGCGGTGAGCTTGTCAATTACTTCTGTCGGGATCTGACAACGTCCATCTTGCTAATTGACTGTTAGAAACTGAATTTCTTGAGCTGGTCCCTTAACCTTGCTTTGCTTAATGGCAAAACCAGCTTCTAGCAGAATCTGGATAATCTTCTCACCTTTTTCGAAGACTTCCCTTGCTGTGCTCCCCCATACAATGATGTCATCGATATACTGTAGATATTCGGGAGCCTCGCTCTTTTCCAGTACAGCCTGGATCAGTCCATGGCAAATGGCGGGATTGTGCTTCTACCCCTGGGGCAGTCGGTTCCAGGTGTACTGCACTCCCTTCCAAGTGAAGGTAAACTAAAGCCTGCATTCCACTGCCAAAGGAATGGAGAAGAAGGCGTTGCAAACATCAACGGTCGCGTACCACTTTGCTTCCTTGGACTCCAGCTCGTACTGAAGCTCCAACATGTCAGGCACGGCAGCACTCAATGGTGGTGTGACCTCATCCAGGCCACGGTAATCCACTGTCAGTCTCCATTCTCCACTGGACTTATGCACTGGCCATATAGGGCTGTTGAAAGGTGAACGAGCCTTGCTGACCACCCCTTGGCTCTCCAATTTACGAATCATCTCATGGATGGGGATCACAGAGTCTCTGCTGGTACGATATTGCCGACGGTGCACTGTTGCTGTGGCAATTGGTACCTGTTGTTCTTCAACTCTCAGCAGTCCCACAGCAGAGGGGTTGTCTGAGAGACCAGGTAAAGTATTCCATTTTCTGATGTCTTCTGTCTCTACAGCAGCTATCCCGAAAGCCCAGTGATGTCCTTTTGGGCCTTTGAAATATCCATTTCTGAGATAGTCTTTGCCAAGGATGCATGGGGCCTCTGGGCCAGTCATGATGGGGGGTTTCTGCCACCCATTCCCTATTAAACACACTTTGGCCTCCAATACAGTCAGCTGCTGGGATCTTCCTGTTACCCCAGAAATAGAAATGGATTCTGCTCCTACATACCTTGATGGCATCAGGGTATATTGGGCACTGGTGTCAACCAAAGCTGTATATTTTTTGCGGGTCAGATGTGCCAGGTCATTGGATCCACACAGTCCAATAGATCCAATTGTCCCTGTCCTCTACCTGGCTGGAGGCAGGGCCCCTCTATTCCTGGTCATGGTACACATTGCTCTCTTCCTGTAAATAGGTTCCTGGGGTTCCTTCAAGAGGATCAGTCATATCATCATTCCTATATTGTCTGGAATTCTGTGTGTGAGAGACTGGAGCATCATTGACTCTAGATGAGCTTCTTGTGTTAGGTGTTCCTCTTTTCAGTTCACGTACTCGGGCTGCTAAGGAGGAGGTGGGTTTTCCATCCCACTTCCTCATGTCTTCTCCGTGCTCCTGAAGAAAAAACCAGAGGTTACCTCGTGGAGTGTATCCTCTCTCCTTGGCTGGGGAATGCCGGCTCTTAATGGCAGAGACTCTTGTTGGTTCTGGTGAGATGTGGTAGACTTCTTCCTTCAGTTCCTTTTTTAGTTTCTGATGTCTCTCTTCAGTCAAGCTCCGTTCTTGCTCAGCCAACCTTGTTTCCACAGACGAGACATGGGTATGAAGACAGTGTTTCACAATAGCAGATTTCCTCTGGGCGGCTACTATTCATGACCAAATTGAGAAGCACGAAAGAACTGTTTTTCCTCTTGTGGAGAACACTCCATCACACTAACAAGAGGAACTTCTCTCCCTAAGTGAACTAAAGAAAAAGTATTTTAAAAGTAGTAAACTAACTAGAAATTTTAAGTTTTGTTTCTTTACATCATCAGTGGAAAAGGTTATAGGGGGAGGAGAAGTGTTAGGAAAAGTTTGTCTTAATTCTTACTACTTTTTTTTCTTTAAATTACTGTTAATAAATTTTTCTTTATACCCTTTTAAAGTTTTAAGCCTACTTTGCTTTTCTCCTAATCCTATCTCACAACAAGAAGTGAGCACATTAGTAATTGACCAACACCGAAACATACCACACTCTTTAGTACATTAGACCAGGAAAGCTTAAAATTAGAGAAATCTTAAACTAACAAACAAAACTCCTACATATGGCTTTAAATCCTTAAATAATAGGGGGAAGTATGTGGTTAACACCCACCAGCATTGAGCACTGCAGAATTATAATTCACAATTAAATAATTTGGGATAAAACTTAAAATTTTATTATCGATGTACTGTTGACCAAGAAAAAAAATTTCTTGATTCAATTTTATTCTAAAAAAAAAGCTTATATAAATATATTTTAAACAGGAATTGCAGCAAAAAAACCACAATAAGAAATATCACTACATGCATACAAAGTATTACTTCAAACATTTAGTTTTTGAAGACAACACAGAAACTCTGAAAAGTGTAAATAATCAATTGGTCTGCCTAACAAGGCACACTTACATCTTCATTCCAATCTTCTGCAGTCCATTCTTCTACTGAGTTTTTCCATGCTCCTATTGGAATTAGAGGAAGGAAAGAAAACAGTTACAAGATAAAAGCACATTGTCATATTTCAATCATTCTGCTTTATAAGCAATCCTGTTTTCATTATTCGTGGAACACAAAGCAAGGAGATAGTGGTTGGAAACATGGGAATCTCTAGAAAACTGGTTTGCAGATTTACAGTTTTGGGAAGTGGGTTTGTTTATTTTCTCATTTAATTTCTCATTTCAGGTATTTCTTAGCCACTATGGTACCAGACATAATTTGCATGAATGCATGTCTCTACCCAGTGATTAATTGCAAAAATTGGAAGAACTTCCTCCTATGACAGTGAGAGGTTACTCAACCCTACCATGAGATCTCCCAGTTTCATGCACAAATTCATACAAAGCTTGAACAAAACATGACCACAACATCTCCTCTACCATCCATAATCCTACTAGCAACATACTCAAATTCAAGATGTAAACTACAGCTCTGGAGGCTCCTTTCTAACATCTTAACTCTCTCCTATGAGCAAAATAAGCCCAATACTTTCCCCTGAGAGAGGAATTTTTCTTTTAAAACATATAATTGATATTATGACAGCAGAAGAGTCGATAGCTTCCACTGTAGTTGCAAAACACTTTGTCTTATAACTTGTCACAGAGTTTTTTTGGCAAACACTGGAGGACAGCACACAGCCCACAGCATCTAGCAACAGGAAAACTACAGGAAACCATCCTACAGATGCAAAAACCTGATCCATCGAGGTAGCTGTTTTATTGTAGAAGGCAATCAGGCTGGTCAAGCATGACTTCCCTTTAGTGAATCCATGCTGACTGCTCCTGATCACCTCCATATGTGTAGAGATGGCCTCCAGAATGAGGGCTCCATCACCTTTCCAGGGATTGAGGTGAGGCTGACTGGCCGGTAGATCCCTGGGTCCTCCTCCTTGCTCTTTTTGAAGATCAGGGTGACATTTGCTTTATTCCAGTCCTCAGGCACCTCTCCTGATCTCCACAACCTTTCAAAGATGATTGTGAGTGGCTTTGCTATGGTGTCTGCCAGCTCTCTCAGCACTCCTGGATGCATCCCCTCAGGGCCCATGGACTTGTGGATGTCAAGTTTGCCTAAGTGTTTTCTGGCCCAATCCTCCTTGACCAAATGAATGTCTTCCTCCCACCATTCCTTTACCCTGCTCTCCTGGGTCAGAGATCCCTGAGGGCTGGTCTTGTCAGTGCAGACTGATACAAAGGCGAAGTTCAGTAACTCTGCCTTCTCTGCGTCCTCTGTCACTGGGGTCCCCCCTGGATTTAGTAACAGGCCCACATTATCCTTAGTTTTCCTTTTGTTATTGTTGTATTTGAAGGAGCCCTTATTGTTGTCCTTAATATCCTTGGCCAGATTTAATTCCAGATAGGCCATGGTCTTCCTCATCTCATTTCTACTTACTCTGACAACCTCTCTATATTCATTCCAAGTGGCCTGACCCTGCTTCCATCTCCTGTGTGTTTCCTGCTTATACTTGAATAATGACAGGAGGTCTTTATTCATCCACGCAGGTCTCTTGCCACCTTTGCCTGACTTCTTGCTGATCGTGATGCATCATTCTTGAGCCTGGAAGAAGTGGTGCTTGAATATTGACCAGCACTCTTGGACTCCCCTGCAGTGCCCATTCCCATGGGATTCTTCCAAGAAGATCTTTGAGGAGGCATAAGTCAGCTCTCCTGAAGTCCATGGTTGAGATCTTATGTGCTGCCCTGCATCCTCCTTGCTCAATACTGAACTCCACAATCTCATGGTCACTGCAGCCAAGGCTGCTCCTAACCTTCACATCTCCAACAAGGCCTTCCCTGTTAGTCAGTATAAGGTCAAACAGCCCACCATTCCTTGTGGGATCCTCCAGTACCTGTGATAGGAAGTTGTCATCAATGTTTTGCAAGATCCTCCTGGACTGTTTGTGCTTCACTGCGTTGCTTCTCCAGCAGATGTCAGGGTAGTTAAAGTCCCCCACAAGAACCAGGGCCTGTGACTTTGAGGCTGCTTCAAGCTGCCTGTAGAAGGCCTCATACACTTCTTCCTCCTGCTCAGGCAGGCTGTAGCACACACTCACAACAGTGTCACCCTTACTAGCCTACCTTTTATCTTAACCTATAAGCTCTCAACTCGCCCGTCATCAACCCCAAGACAGAGCTCCATACATTCCAAATGTAGCCTCACATAGAGGGCAACTCTACCACCACACCTTCCTGGTCTGTCTCCTAAACAGGGTGTGGCCCTTCATGACAACACTGCAGTCATGTGAGCTATCCCAATCACAATCAAAGCCCTGTGTTTGTACAAAGATCTGTAGTTCCTCCTGTTTGTTTCCCATACTGCATGTGTTGCTGTACAGGAACTTTATAGAGGTATTTGAGTGTGCCAATATCTCAGTGAGGGTGCAAGGGAATGTCCTAAGTCTTGTCTTGTGGTTACATCTTTCGTTGCTTGTGCTTGCTCAAGGCACCCCCTCTTTAAGTCTCCTTTTGCTACTTGGGTGGTCACTATAGTTCTCCCCTTCCCACACTTTATCTGTCAAGCCTGGCCCTGTCCCATCCATCTCCCTTCCAATCTAGTTTAAAGCTCTCTCAATAAGCCCTGCTAACTCCTGAGCTAAGAGCCTTTTTCCCCTTTGAGACAGGCGGACCCCATCTTTTGCCAGCAGGCTCAGTGTTGTATAAACTGACCCATGATCAAAAACCCCAAAATTCTACTGGTAACACCAGTCTCAAAGCCACGTGTTCATCTGCATGATTTTCCTGTTTCTTGCCCCATCATTCCCTGCAACTGGCAGGACAGAAGAGAACACTACTTGTGCTCCAGATCCCTCAAACAGTCGTCCCAAGGTCCTAACATCCCTCTTGATGATCTGCAGACTTCTTGTTGGGAATTCATCAGTACCCACCTGGAAAACCAGTAGCGGGTAATAGTCAGTGAGCCATACCAGGCTGGAAAGTTTCTTGGTAATGTCCCTTACCCAGGCCCCAGGGGGACAGCACATCTTCCTATGGGTTGGGTCTGGTCAGCATATCCGGCCCTCCATTCCTCTCAAAAGGGAGCCACCAATGATTACTACCTTTCTTTTTTCTTAATTGAAGAGGTCATGATGAGCAGGTAAGCCGCCTTGCCCTAGGTGACCCCTCCATCCCAGAACCACCTTCATCCCCATTCTCCTTTCTCTGGTCCTCATATTCTGGGTCCTTGCACCTATTTGTATAAGGGCACCTCGGAAAGTGGGGTAAGTCGGGAGGGAATTTGCCTGCCACCCCAAGCAGAACCCTGTTTCCACTCCCCTCCATCACTAATGTCCCCTCCTCCTGCCTGGTGGTGAGAGGGTAAGGGATCCATTGCTTCCCCACCACCTTTGGGAGACTGAATCTACTTAGAATAATACTTGGGACATTTTCCTGATATTCAATTAAAATATTTATCTGTTACTCCTACTTATGACCATGGTTCTGTGAGTTTATTCTTTTTAAATACTGAACATAACCCATCACCCTTTTATTAGTTTACTTAAGCTGCAAAGTTTATTACTATCATTTATTAACATTCTACCTTTCCAACGCAATCCTTCCAGTTTCAGTTATTTCACTGCTCTAAATCTAGTTTACTAATGCCTTCTTCCTATTGATGGGATTCCAAGTCTGATCTTGCCACAAGTGCAATTTCCTTTTAGTCCAAAATCCACCTTGGCATTATTGCAACTCCATATATCCTCTTCCCAACCTTTCCGCAAGCCTTGCAAAGCATTGCAATTTAAGAATTCTGTGGTTTGCACTAAAATTAGGCTATGTATTTTCAAGTATCCTTGTCATTGCAATTCAACCTAGATGGTCATCTGTGACTCTGTCCTGTTTCCCTTAGTAATGAGTCTAGTTTAAAAAAAGTTATAAAGCCAATAAAATGTATACTACATATTTTTTGTAACTCTTCAGCTATTTCTCTCCAATTCCTCACTTCCTGTCACACTATTTGATTGGTTTTTTTAATAATCAGACATAGATATTAGCTCAAAAATAATTTGATTTTGGTCTATCCCAAACTTATGTAATAATCCTTTCCTTCTGGATTACATTCACATTCTAGAATAACCTGTAAGTTTCCTAAAATGTTCCTTCTGACTTTTGCAGCAGTCCTAAAAAAAACCCCACTTCTTTGTAACTTTTAAGCTACACAATTCCCTTCTTCCCCCACTATAATTTTTTTTTCTTTCATGTTGTTCTTCAGTTTCAAAGTTATTTAAGGCTGCTCATAACCAAGATAATAACAAATGAAGTTTTTCTGTTAAATTTATGAAACTATTAAAGTAGAAGTAACATTAAATTACTAGAATATAATTTTTATAACTTACTTTGAGAAGTGACCACCTCCAACATAATTTATTTATAAGAACTGTTGTGATTTGAGATTCTGGATCTCCCATGGATTTGTACATTACAAAAAAGGCTGAGACTGAACACTCAGCATGCCTGTTAGAAATATCAATCATGCTATTCAAGTTTATTCCCTTTTGAATAAGGACCAGTGGTTTTGTTTCATCCTACTTGTCCCTTCTCTTTACCTTTCAGTTGTACGTTTTTTCTATAAAAATTAGGATGTAGAAAACCCAATGCTGAATTATTTTAAATACAATCACACTTAAACATTGTGAACCTGTGAACCATTAGAGATTTACCCTTTACTCTCTCTCTTTTTTTATTTCAGCCAACAACACTAAATTTTACTTTCATAGAACCAACTAGCTTTTCTATAGGATTATACAATGGTGCACCTAGAAACACCTTTCATTCAGGCTACTGAAATTCCTCTGGCACCTGCAACAATTCAGGACAAGAGGTGCTAGAGTGCTTTCATAGAAGGTATGGGGGCAAGTACATTTTTGAAACTAATAGTGTAATTATTTTTAGTTGAAAATGTTAATGTTGATAATTTCCCAGCACTGGCTTAAAGAGGAAATAGCTAGTAATTACTCAAAACTTCACAGAGT